GATGCAAGCCCACCCAACATCACAGGTGGGATCAGACATGCGCACTCCAGATTCAAAAACCACTCACCACTTGTCGCCCCTCACACCGCTGGCACTCCCCACACTTATCCATCTGCTCTCACTCCACGTCACTCTACCTTACGTCCTCACTGTCTCGCTCGTGACCGGCTCCGGCTTTGGACACCTCTAGCCTCTCGGCCTCATGATGGGCACGATGGGTCGATCGTGTGCATTTCAGACAGCAACATTGATCGTATCTTCGCAGTGCTCAGCCATTCACACTGCTGTTAGCACCTGCGAATGCTACAGTTCAGGTCTATTAGTTTTTCATGTGTTTTGCGACTCCTGGAGCATCCCAGAACCGCAGCACTGCCCTGCGTCTTCCATCGTGTTATTAGTGTTTGTTGCCAGTTGTGCCAGCTTATACTCAGGACATACACTGGAGAATTATTTCTTCGGAATATGCGCCTGGCACTTGTTGCACGGACTACCCTGGCTCGTCGACCAGGCTCAAATTTCACTTGTGCTTGAAGGCGCTAAACGTCTCGCACCGCCTAAGTCCACATGTCCCAAATGCTCTGCTTTCACAGTTGACCTGCTCATCCAGCTGCGGTCTGTCCTTGACCTCTCACAGCCCCTGCATGCTGCCGTGTACACCTGCCTCATGACCTCGTTTTGGTCCCTCGCACGCAGTGGCGAATTCACCGACGAGTCCCTATCAGCATTCGACCCGCTTTGTCATGTGAAGGTTTGTGACATGCATCAGGAAACTGACCGCAATGGACTACATGTCACTGTTTTTCACCTGCCGCAAACTAAGACCACGCAACACGGCGCTGACGTTTATTGGGCGACACAATCCGGAGACGCCGACCCCCACGCTGCCTTATTAAACCATTTTAGCATCAACACACCGGACCCGCACTCAGCCCTCTTCACTTGGTGCCACCAGAAAGGTGCACGGGTACTGACAAAGTCCGCATTTATGAAGTGTTTGCAAGACGGCGGAAAAACACTGGGGTGCACTGATATGAAGGGTCATGGCATCAGGATCGGAGGTACCTTGGAATATCTCCTGCGCGGGGTACCTCTCGAAAGCGTCAAAACAATGGGACGTTGGGGAAGCGACGCGTTCATGCTGTACCTGCGGAAGCACGCTGTCGTACTTGCACCTTACCTTCAGGATCAACCGATCCTGGAACCCTTCATGCGCTACGCACTACCCTGATGACAGGTGAGATCTCACAACTCTCCTTATTTCGGGGGACCAAGCTCATGCTCGATGCGGCAGATTTTGCTCCTTGATTAGCGGGAATCTCAGCTTAAGCTTGGTCTGAGGTGGGAATTCAAAACGTGTTTCGGTCTAAGGCCCCAAAGGCCTTGCCCAAACTAGATACCCTTACTGCCCATAGCCGCGATACTCTTACCTACATTGCCTTGTGTTGTAACCAGATTATGTGATCGCTTATGAATCAGAAAACCTTCGAGTTCGTTTGAGAGTTCAAACCATAGATATTGTCTGATTCCGACATTCAAGTGGCTGTGTACTTAGGTACTAATGTGACTTTCTGGAATCTGTTCGCAATTGGTCTCATTTAAATTGTAAGTTAGGATCAGTAACTATTAGCTACAGCTTGACTTGAGGACTCACGACCCTCGTACTAGTGCTGTTCGCCGCAAGGCTCAATAGTAGTCCAAAGTTCAAGTATATACCAAGGCCCCCAATTATCTTCCGCATGCTCCATTTCATCATCGTCCGCCTCCACCTGCCAATCGATAATCCTACTCATCATCCACACGTTACATACCTGTCAATTACCAAAAGCCCTCTGCAAGCGGTCAGTGACAACCGGCCACATGGGCACGCAATCCCAGTCTTAAGACCTTGCCTCCAGCTCCCTCTTGATATGCAAAAAATTTGTGCATCAACTCTTCTAACGAGCATGCCTACCCATGGCACCAAGAGTCCACATAAACTTCTGCATCCATAAGCACTCCAGCATCCGCCCACAGGATCTCACCACCAGTGAACCACCCTAATGCCTGCGTCCGCGTAGAACCGACCTAATCATATGGCAACAGTTGGTAAGCATAGGACTTATCTAGCTCGTGCCACTCAACTCACACCCGTCGCCATCAGCTCGACGACAGCTATCTTCGTTCTCTTGGGCCTAATGCAGACATCTTCATCTTGTAACTCAGTTTCTCCTTGTTTCCACGACGTCGTCTCGGTCCCTCATTTGAACTCCAGGGGATGATGCACGCGGTCAATCAAAACTAGTGGAAACGAGAATGATGTAGTTCCGACCGTGGATCCTGGGATGCACAGAGCGCACATTCTGAAGGTACGATGCATCAGGAGTTCCACCCTTGACTTCATAATCCAGAGCCATAAACAACCTGCATTGTCCTGCATTGTCCTGCAAAGAACGAAGACTTCAAAATGCGTCCACTGCTTGCAGTTCATCGATTTCGAAGGCTAACTGCTCAGTCTCAACTATCAACAAGTGCTACTGACATTGACAGAGACGTTCCGTGCGTTTGTCTATGTTGTAACTCTGAAACGGCGATAAACTAGATTACTTTTTTGTTTTTTTACAAAACATGTACGCAAGTTCAGGATAGGTTGTGGAGCAGAATAACACGTGGAGTACAGCCGACGCCGACCTCAATTCACTTGAATCTGAATCAGTTCACGGATACCTGGGGGTATATCAAGCCCAGTCGATCTCATTGCTGTCTCGGCTGAGGCTGACCGACGTACATCAAACATGCATACACCATACCGGGGAATACGCCATATTGTGTGATCATACAAGCATTTCGTACAAGTTCCGACTCCTGAAACCACCTCGACAAATGTGACATTAAGGTCTAGCTAAAAACAAACGGGTCAGCAGGACTGCTACCACAGCATGATAGTGAAACATACGTAGGCGATGATTCAAAGTAATTTGAAGAACAGCCTCGAATAACTCCGCCTTCGTTCGAGAACACGAAGATTCTTTCTCCTCCGCCTGAGAGCGTTCAATGGATTCTTTCTCCATCTGTTTGAAGCGCTCAAAAGCTTTTTTCTCCTCCTGAGAGCGCTCGAAAGCTTCTTTTGCCTTCCTCTTGGACGATTCAAATGGTAACTTCGCCGTCCAAGTAGGTCGACGTGGATAGACAGCAGTCCTAATAGCTTCGTCATATGCGTGGGCGGCAGTAGCTACGGCATCTTCATATGCGCGGGCAGCTGCGGCCACAGCTTGTTTATATGCCTGGACGGCAGCGATCACAGCTTCCCTGACAGTAGCTGCATATGGAGATGGCATGTACTGCTCCAGAGCGACATAAAAAGAGGGATCAGACTTTTGCAGGTCCTGAAGATAGCGCCGCTTGTCGAAAATATAGAAAGAGTGTTCGAAGATGATGACAGCAGCTAAATGAACAACAATAAGCAGGACCATCGCAATGTTGCCTCAAAATTACCAGAAATAAGCTGAATGATGTTCTCCAAGGGCGATGAGCCAGAGACCTGTCAGATTTGCGATATGAGAAGTGTGTTACAATCTGTGGTCAATTGAACATACCACAGAACGTAACCTAGACAGTATCTCAACACAGTTATCGTCACGAAGCACGTCCTACTGAAGGATCAGCGATGTCGTTCGCGAGCAAGGCTCCAGACTCACACGCTATTAAAGGATGTGGTTTCTCGGTGGTAAGCAAATCTCAAATTCAAAGGAAGATCGGCACACTGACTTTCTAAGGAATGCCATCGGTAAGCAAAGCTAGAGCTCGAATGAGAATGAGAATGACGATGAAGAACTCACTCCCTGTCAACAGATCAGCGGTGTTATCGGTGAGGAAAGTCCGAGCTTAATGGCAGATGAACATACTCACCCACTGTCAAAAGGGATCAGCAATTTCACTAGTCAGTAATGCACCAATTCGACCGCGGATCGATACGCTTACGGACTGTGAATGGACGGACAATGTCTTCAGTCAGTATGGTTCGAGATTGATAGTGGATGGATCAACTCACAATCTATCAATGGAACCGTGATGTGTTCGGTCAGTATAGCGCAAAGGCGACGTGTGATCAATACACCCACATCCTAACAATAAATCAACGATTGCATCAGAGTGAGGAAGGCAGGAGTTTGGCAGAGAATGATGATACTCACAAGCTGTCAACGGATCAACAATGTCTTCAGTCAGTAACTCGACTCAAAGGTCAGTAGAAAATCGATATACCGACCTCCTGCAGACAGATCATCAAATTGCTTGGGTCAGGAAAGTTCGAGCTCGAACGAGGATCGACACACTCACTTGCTGCGAAGGGCGGGCGACGACTTGGATCAGCATGGCTCGAGCTCGAACGAGGATCGACACACTCACTCGCTGCGAACGGCGGGCCACGACTTGGATCAGCATGGCTCGAGCTCGAACGAGGATCGACACACTCACTTGCTGCGAAGGGCGGGCGACGACTTGGATCAGCATGGCTCGAGCTCGAACGAGGATCGACACACTCACGTCCTGCGAACGGCGGGCGACGACTTGGATCAGCATGGCTCGAGCTCGAACGAGGATCGACACACTCACTCGCTGCGAACGGCGGGCGACGACTTGGATCAGCATGGCTCGAGCTCGAACGAGGATCGACACACTCACTTGCTGCGAAGGGCGGGCGACGACTTGGATCAGCATGGCTCGAGCTCGAACGATGATCGACACACTCACAACCTGCGAACGGCGGGCGACGACTTGGATCAGCATGGCTCGAGCTCGAACGAGGATCGACACACTCACAACCTGCGAACGGCGGGCGACGACTTGGATCAGCATGGCTCGAGCTCGAACGAGGATCGACACACTCACATACTGCGAACGGCGGGCGACGACTTGGATCAGCATGGCTCGAGCTCGAACGAGGATCGACACACTCACTTCCTGCGAAGGGCGGGCCACGACTTGGATCAGCATGGCTCGAGCTCGAACGAGGATCGACACACTCACATACTGCGAACGGCGGGCGACGACTTGGATCAGCATGGCTCGAGCTCGAACGAGGATCGACACACTCACTTCCTGCGAACGGCGGGCGACGACTTGGATCAGCATGGCTCGAGCTCGAACGAGGATCGACACACTCACTTGCCTGCGAACGGCGGGCGACGACTTGGATCAGCATGGCTCGAGCTCGAACGAGGATAGACACACTCACAACCTGCAAGTAAAGCCCAGTTTAAATGAGAACACTCCTTGAACTTTCCAATAATCTTACCGAAATATGCGGAAACCAGACGCCCACTCTTGCTATCATCACCTCATGAACCTCAGACTCTTTAGAGTCAAAATATTTCTTGAGTGTTCTAGACAATATCAGTTGTCAGCGCTCATGGCGGGTAAACCAGATCGTGGGTATTTACCTGTCAACTGCATATTTCACGCAGAGCTCCAAGTTGCTCTGCTGGGTCGAAACGAACAACTGCTCTAGCACTTCATTAGTACCCAGAGTTCCAGCCGTGCGTTCCATCAGTGGTCCGCAATCTGCATCATCGTTGTTCATGTCTAATGGATCAAAGGTCATCATGCATCGCAACTCGACCATCAACCGGCTTACTAGGAAGGCAAACATGACATTTCGGCGGCCATCGGACGTCTTTGAGAAACTTCAATTGTGGCCCGTTAACAAATGACTCTTCGGCGTGTTTTGGGGCCAGTTCTTTGGCGTCCTTTCGAGATTTTCCTTCCTTCTTCAGCTCTGCGAATGCGACGTCGTAGAAGGCATCGAACTTTGTGAACAGTACGATCACTGGAACTGAGTATTGTGATTCTGCATCAGTCAAACATCGACGATGCTGGGATGTGAAAGCTTACCGGTTCCTGTGTCGCACTGAGAGAAAAATTTATTTTCACCTTCAGTGAATGACCTGTGTGCCTCATCCATCGGGATGCAGTACCTATGTTGAAACCGTGAGATAGCGCATTTTGTGATTGATCAGTTTCAATTACCAGATAGCGTGTAGTTGATCGCTTAGTTTAGTTTTCTTTGAACGGCTAGTGATAAATTCCTTGACCTTGTCGAATTCGGTTGCGCTGCCCGCCTCGAAACCGCGTGAATCATGAAAGACAAATCCTGGGTTGCTTTCAAACACCAATTCATTGTCGATATCGTGCTCTCCGCGCTGAGAGCAGTTCAGTTCATGTCATGAAATAAGAGCACACCTTACCTCTCTGGATGCCGTTATAGTTGCAAGATCGATCTGATGTCGACGGGTCACTACCATCCTCCTACTAGCATAATACTGCTCACCTTTTTCCCGGCGCTGTTATATATTATTGGGTTGTCCCGTGTGTTGCAAACTCTTCGAAGGATGGTAGTTTTTCCTGCATTCGCTCTTCCTATGATGAGGATTCGAAAGCGACGGATTTTCTTTCTTATCTTTGAAGGATCCATGGGGAAGGTAAATGTCAAGGAGAAGCGCTGGTTTAGTAGGTCACGGTAGCCTTATAATCATTGCAGTGTGTGAACTCGGTGAATTCTAACCGAGTTGAAGTCAGCATGTAGGCAATGGGTGTACACAACTGCATACAACACTGATATTTGAATACCCAGCCCGAAGCCAACACGCCTGGGGTCCATGACTAAAGGGTAGCACCTGGTCTCTAAAGAAGCACGGTGAGCGTGCTTCATCTAATTTGAATCAGCCACGGTATGATTGCTCCCCATGCCCTTGTCAAGCGACTGATCTTATCTCTGATCCAGGGACAAGTGTTGGTGTACTGCGCGTTTTCACAGATCGAGAGCTTTGTCTTCACAATATCTACCGTGAGATTCAACGGGAACAGGGTTTAACTATCGCACGCTCAATAATGGTTAGATTTGACCAAGTCTCCCATAATGAGTATAGACCTGGAGAGACAGTTTCACGTTTTTAGGCAACTGCCGCGCCGGCTGGGTGCGCCGTACATGAGGTGTACCTCATTTCCTCGCGGCTGAAGCGCTGAACCCATGGCTTGCACTCGACCTCTATAAATTTGCAGTGAGAGCAGACTCCTCCCTAAATCAAATCAGCATGGCTGATTCTCTTCACCCCTCAACGGTTTCCTGTCCTCTCCACATCTTTGGTACTCAGTTCAAGTGCTACCATCAACCTCGCTGAATATCTCCAATAGGTATCACCGTCGATTTCAGCAAGTCGAAAATCAACGTAGTGTCTGCTGAAGCACGGATCAGCAAGTTGAATTCGCCACATGGACTCGAACGCGAAGCAGGAAAGAGTCTGCGACGGACGTTTTCTCCACATATGTAAGTACTCGACTCCAACGCATGTTCTCACCCTGAGGCGCTGCCGTGTTTTTGTCGTAGGGTGCTGTCTCGCGAGGATTCATTTTCCTTGCATCTGCGGTATAGGAAAGGTCTTAGAACCAAGCATGAAGACATTATTTTCGACACAGATGACATGATCCGCGCATATAATGCAAGCGAAAGACAAGGTGAAACAAGAATCATCGTACTCTCACTTCGATCCCTCACGAGCTCAACTTCACATGCGTAGAATACATCAAGTTTCATAAAAACATCAATATTGTCGTTGACCTTTCCGGAAATACAACAACAAAAGTAAGGATCCACGTCTGGGATCGAGCCCGTCTAAGTCATAAATCGGCAGGTTGATCAGTCCGTCTCTTCCGGTCAAAGTCTTGAGCTACGGTCTACCACTTCCGAAATATTTCAGAGCTATCCTCGGTGAGTCAGAATGATCATAAAGTGCCGTCCTTGAGGTTGACACTCCCAAGGTTCCGAATTTTGGTGATAGGAAAGGTATTTGCCATATGGCATTCTCCGGTCTTAGGCCAGTATTGATGACGTGCTTTTAAAATAGACTGGCGTCGGAAAGTCGTCACTGATCAATCACGTGTTTGGAGTGGAAAAAACGGTGGGGCACACGATGTTCTAACGAGCACAGCTACTCATAACGTCAATAGATCGCTTCGCACGATAAACCAGGCGAGGTTAGCATCGACGATGAGTTCAGCTCACCTCAAAACAAGAGGTTTGTTTTGCACGACAGCAAAGGTTTTGAGCCGGGAGACGAAAAGAACCTCAAAATAGTCCAAGATTTCATTGAACGTCGGAAGGAAATGACTCCCGAAAATCAGTTGCATGCTGTTTGGTAGGCTTCTATCTCGACCATTGCACTATGGCGGACCGACTAAATTCACGGAAGGATTTGCTTCGAGATACCTCGTGCAGACGGACGTTTGCTAGAGACAGGAACGGATGAATTCCTGACGTTAAAAAGTAGTGGAAAGCTAGGAAACGGTAAGTGAATCGATGACTATCTCTGTCATGTTGGAGCTCACGCTTTGTCGAAGTTCCCGTTATCGTCGTTTTTACCAAGTACGATATGCTCATCGATCGCGTGGAGCGAACTCTAGATGAAAGCTCTCTCGATGGATTAAGCGACCAAGCTGTCAAGGAACTTATCAAGAACAAAGCAGAAGCGGAGCTGCAGGATATCTGCATTCGACCTCTAGAAAAATTTGCGGGGGAGGGTGATGTACGATTTCCCCACGCTACTATCTCTAGTGTGTACCAATACTTCGACAAGTTCGTGCATGCCTCTGAAGTATAACATTGCAGCAGAAGAAGTGTATAAGGAGACGCTCACCCACCTGATCCAAATAACTGAAAAATGTGTCGGTCTGCATTCTGCGCCCGAGGCCGCGGTGATAACCTCCATCGCTCAGCGAGTTCATCCTGGACTCAAAGTAAAAGCATCGATCGAGTGAGTGTTGCTTACTTCATTTCTATCTCGTGATTTACGAAGTGTCAGGGTTGGCAAGAAAAGTCCGTCCTGGTTTCGCATTGATAATTACTGAATAAAATCTAAATCTACATGTCTTGCAGAATATTGGAAGGCACTTGCATCAAGCACAACGTTCAAGAACCACAAGACATGGGATTGTCTGTATGTGCTTCACACTGACATCGTCAATGTATGGAACTTCTATGACCCACATCATGTAACGGCTATTTTATTTCTCGTCATATCCGTCCTAACGTAATTTGTGGGTAGTACTTGCGCAGCCAAGAGTTCAGGGAATTGACAACGAACATAGTCGATAAGCTAGAAGTTGGACCCACACCTAATCCCACCCAGACCATGTAGGCCGGTCTTTTGCGTGACCTTTTTTCTATCTCATTGAATATTTACAGGGCTTTTGGGTTATCCATGGTCGGCACTATCGCAGGCATCGTGACTGCCCTGGCGGGACCTGCGGCTCCCATCGTAGTACCAATCGCAGTAGGCGCCGTACTCGCTGTATGGGTTCACGATGTATACAAGATATCGTAAGCACCACTACTTTTCTGTGTGCAAAATGATATCAACACTTCTTCGTCAGCCGCGCAGTGCTTCAACGCTTCATGGCGTACATAATCCACTTAACGCTGGTGTTGCAAACATTATATCTGGTATCAGAAGGCAAGGAAATCACTCGTAGGGCCATCAAACTCTCCATCGCTTCCTACCTCGCCTCCCCAATGAGCGGAGAAGTTGTTGCTCGGATTCAGGAGTACGATAGGCAGTTGTCCATCCTGGAACGCACAGATCGCGACATCTTGGATAAAATCATTGAGGTGATGCAATTTTACAGCATCGATGCGGCACACATGTCCGACCTTCGGGGAAAGCTCTCCGTAGATTTGACATCGGACGAACCATGGTGAATCGAGAGGTCGTAGCACTCGATTGTTATTTTCGCTGATGGTTTTGTGCATGGGCGGTGTCTGACGCGATTTTAAATGGTACTAACTTGTACTATATCACTTGGATTCATGGCCAGCCATAACACTGTAGGGTATGATATACTGTGTTCTATTAATGACATGTACTTGCTGCTATATTTGATTCGAGCCCTCTCAATGTGCCAAAGTGCTGTATCAATACATAAACACCGGGCCTCATGCTCAGGCGGCAACCACCCGGGATGAGTGTAGCCCAAAGCGCATTTATCGCTAAAGGTACTGCGTGTCGTTGCAAGCGCTGCAAGGGATGTACGAGTCAAAGGTATCTGCGAGGTGAAAAATGATCTGAGACAAATGCAGGATCATTGACGTGCAGATGTAAATTATGTGCTGGAGGATCGATCTCGCAAATGTTGCATATCGTTTATCGAGTACCACGAGTCTCTGCTGATTCTGGATCCAGCTGCCAGGCAAAGGGTATACACGCTAACGCGAGGAGTCGGCCCGGTCGGACTCCCGTCGAAACTACAGAAGGATCTGTGTTGTGTCACAAGGGTGCGTGGCCATGGGCAACGCAGGGGCCGTCCAAGCGCTTGAGTGCTATAGCTAGCCGCATCCATCAAGGGGGTAGGGTTCCATCATACCTCAAGGGTCTGGTTCATGGTTGGTCAAAGAAGCACGGTGGCTTTATACGAGCGCTAACCAACCGTGCTCTCACCCACTCAATTCGAATCAGTCACAATTATGATCGCTCCAAACCTTTATACATATTTTGGCGCACCCTCGAACATTCTCAAGTCCGACACAGCACACCTTTTGACTCAGACCCACATGTTCTTCATTTCATCATGATAACGAGCTGGGCGTACGCGTCAATAGCTAGTCTGTGTTACACGAGGATACCTCCCTTCGGCGTAGCTGACGCATGGCCTACAGTGCCCTACACCCGGCCTTCAGATAAATCCGCCGTGACGAAGGAAAGTATTCTCTAATTCGAATAAGTATTCAGTATGGCTAGTCCCCTCGACGCTTTAACTATCTACGTCTCTGGTACCAGTCATTTCGTCAGCAGAATCAAGAATCCTACTGAATATATCCAATAGGTGTCACTCTCGATTTCAGCAACTCGAACAAGAATGTGAAGTCTGCTAAAGTACGAATTAGCCATAGGTCGTCCGTGCTAATCAAAAGTGGGGCAGAGAAGGTTTTGCGAAAGGCGTTCTTTCCACCCATGTAAGGACTCGACCTGGACAACTAACTGTACCCAACTGAGCTGGTATTGCGTTTCATCACAGGAAGCTTTCTATTGGGGATACATTTTCCTTACGTCTGCAGTACAAAAAATAGCTTAGGCTGAAAACCGAACATGATAACATTAATTTCGAACTAAAAAACATGTTCCACGTATGTGGTGCAAGAGAACGACAAGGTGAAACAATAGCCATCACGCTCTTGCCTTTATCGCTCATGAATTCAACCTTACATGCGCAGAATACAAAAAGGTTCATGAAAACATCACCATTGTCATCGAACTTTCCGGGAATCCAACAACTGAAGTAAGGTTCCATGTCTCCCATCGGAAATCATCTAAGTCGTATGTTAGCAGACCGAGCAGTTTCACTCCTCCGATGAAACACTGGAGCTCCGGCCTACCACTGACGAAATCTTTCAGAAGTGTCCTCAGTGAGTCTGGATTATCGTCAAACATTCTTTAGGTTGACGCTAGGGGCTTTCAAGGTTCCGAATTCTGGTCATAGGAAAGGTACCAGGTTTTTGCTGATCTCATGCTAGCTTTGACACGGTATTTCCGATAGACTGGCGTTGGCAAGTCTTCGCTGATCAACCACGCATTCGGAGTAAAGAACGCGGTAGGCTAATCACGATACTGCACAGTATTTAGCTACTCATGCTGTCAATAGATGGCTTCGCACGAACAGCCGGGCGAGGCCAGCATCGATCACGAGTTCATCTCACCGCAAAACGACAGATTTGTTCTTCATGATAGCAAAGGTTTTGAACCAGGGGAAATAGACAACCTCAAAGTTGTCCGAGATTTCATTGAGCGCCGGAGAGTAATGCCTGATTTGAAAAATCGGCTACACGCTGTTTGGTGGGAGCATTATCTTAGTGCGTTTGTATGACAAGCTGACTATATACAAGGCTTTGCTTTGAAATACCCTGCGCAGGCGGGCGCTTACTAGAAACCGGTGTGGAGCAATTTCTTACATTGATGCGCAAAGGAGAACTGGGAGGCAGTACGTCGATGGATTGTTACCGCTACACATAGGTCACAGCTAACGCAGGTCAAAGTTCCTATTGTTGTCGTTTTCACTAAATTCGGCACCCTCCTTGTTCATGTGGAGCGAACTCTGGACAAGTCAACTATCAAGGGTTTGGACAATGCGGCAATTCAAAAACGCATAAAGGAAAGCGCGGAAGACAAGCTAAAGGAAGTCTGTATCGCACCCCTGGAGAAATTTGCAGGGTCCGGTATTCCGCATGTTACAGTTTCCAGTGAGTATCGCTGCTGTGGTTGTCATTTGTGTTTTCAATACAATCCTGAGCACAGCAAATGGACACCACGAGGAGACCCTGGCCCGTTTGATCCGAACCACGGAAGAACTCGTTTGTAAGCATGTTGGGACCGATGCGTCGGTGACGACGTCTGCTGCTCAGCGAGTGGATCCTGGACTGAAGATAAAGGCATCAATAGGGTGAGCTTTACTTGCTTCATCCTTATCTTGCTATTTACGCAGCATCAGGGTTGGCAAGAGAAGTCTGTCTTGATTTTGTATTCAAAGATACTGAACAGAAGCTGAACCTTCACGTCTGTCTTTTAGAATACTGGAAGGCACTCGCATCAAGCGCACCATTCAAGGACCGTTCTATGTGGGACTGTCTGCATGTGCTTCACACTGACATTGTCAAGGTGTGGAACTTCCACGACCCTAATGATGTAATGGCTCTCTTTTTTATTCGTTGTCGCATATTCTGATGCCGTTCACCTGCAGTACTTGTGTAACCCGGAGTTCAGGATATTGATGGCGAACATGGCCAATGAGCTAGATGTCGGACCCATTGGTAATGCCAACAAGAACCTGTAAGACAGCCTTTCACGCGATGGTGAATTTCATCTCATCCAATGTTCGTAGCGCGTTTGGGCTGTCCATTGTGGGTACTATTGTGGGCATCGTGTCCGCACTGGCCGGACCTGCTGCCCCCATCGTATTACCAATAGTGGCGAGTGTTGTGATCGCGAAATGAGTTCACGAGGTGGATCAGCAGTCGTACGTCCTGCTACTTATCCTTCATGGAGAGAATACCGACAGGTCTCCTTCCCAGCTGCTTGGCGCTTCAACGCTTCATGGTATACATCATCGACTTAACTCTCGTGTTGCAGACGCTGTATCTTGTGTCCGAAAACCAGGAACAGTCTCGTAGAGCCATCAAGCTTGCAATCAAGTCCTACCACGACTCACCAACTAGGGGAAGGGTCCATAATCGGATTTAGGAGTACGAGGCAATTGACCATTTTGGCACGCGCGGACCGCGATTCATTGGATGAATTCGTCAAGCTACTACAATCATATAGCATCAGTGCAGAGGAAATGATGGTTCTTCGGAGCAAACTTCCCGCTGTGGATTTATCTTCGGATGAACCGTGGGACACGGCCGAGAAGTCTAGCACTTGATTCTTTTGTGTATTATTTTGATTGTGTGTCTCGTAGATGGATGTCGACGTGTCCTTACCCGTACTATGTAATTGGAGTTATAGCTGTCTGTGCTACTGTAGTCTGCCCTGACGTTCTCTCTGAGAAGGTTTTCCTTGAAATCAGTTTATCCTCCCGGGACACGACTACTCCCATGAGCCGGACTAGTCTAGCAGGCCACCGCATACATGGGAACATCGACTCATCGAGCTTGTCCCGCCGCGCGTTCCGTATGTCAGCGATACATACCTCTGAGTTCCATAACTGAATTATCTGAAGATGTGTATACCGATGGGGATGACAGCTTCGAACGACTTGGCGAACCACGCGCCTTGCCTTGTTTGTTGCGAAATGTCCGAAGAACTGGCGTGAGTACTAAACGCTGAGCTTGTCTACGGCTGACAAATATGCTTCGACTATTTTCGTTTTTAAAGCCGTCGTGGCAGTCCGGAAGGATCAGTCTGTATATCTGGCCAGAGCCGATTTGATGCTAGCACGCGGAGTTCGCGGAAATTATTGAGAACAAGTGAGGGAGTTGTGGGCTACTGTGGGGTACGTACGGCACGTACTAGGTAGGGCATGAGAGCCAGGAACCAGGTCGATTTAATATACAACGGATGCGAGTTGATGATCTCGCGTGGTAGAAGTGATCTGTTGTAGGATGGTAAGCCACGGATCGACATAAGGTTTGTTTTCTTGACTAAAGGTAAAATAAACTGAAGGATGGGGTGAGTGGCCGGTAGAACGGAAAGTAGACAGGGTGCACCATAGTGGGTTTTCACTGGGGATCAGCGCTAGTCTACAGTGAATGACCAATCGGATTATGTAAGCAAGCTGCCACAAATCTTTGGAATATCAACTTGATGATTAATGATAGTCACCAATGAGATCGAACTTACATACATGAATAAGCACCGCAGCATAAAGAGTTGTCATGACGTCGATGGTGTTGTTTCGGTGGCCTGCATGCTAACCGAAACAATTACATGGAGCCTTGGTGAGCCGGCATGCACTGACTATCAGCGTTTTATGGAAGGCTTCCGCAAAGGGAAGACTCTAGTAACTTGCCAATATTTAAAGGTAGAGGAAGTAAAAGTGGTACACGAGGTGATTTACCCTTTCCAGCTTCTTCAAGGACTAGTAGTACTATACCGTAAGTGCGGTGATTACAACGAACACTGTCACGGTGGTTGCTATGGTCTTTACGACAAGATTGAAAGAATCTTTGTTCTCATTATTCTGATTCTTAAGGGCGTGTACTCATGCACCTATCAAGGTCTAGACATTAAACGTGCCACCTTCATCATCGCTGCTGACCTGTTCATGTGTCTTTGTTCCAGTGGAAACAATTGACGGTGGTTTATCATCAAAACCGTCATAAGATGTTAGCTTCAGACAATAAAACGGAGGAGTGTCACAGGATCTGAAGACTATCCGAGTTCGCCTAGGCCCATCATTCACAAGGGTTACAAAGAGCTGCAGGAGACTGCGTGTCCTTCTAATCTCTCTGTTTCAAAATCTCCGCCTTTCAGTTATTTCTTGCATCATTGGAAGATGACGAGGGTCGTCAAAAAGAGGCAAGCATCGTTTCAACATCGCCTTAAGACATCCTCATTAGTATCAATCTCAGTCCTCACGCCGCACCATTAATGTGATGCCATCTTCAACCTCGAAGGCGCCAAAATCCGCTCGACTCTCTAATGCCCCACAAAATTTGAAATACGAAGAAATAGCCCCACCTATTAGCGCAAATATTTCTCGTGAATTTGTAGTCGCGACGCTTGTGAGTGGCACTAAAGCTTGAACTTTTGTCAGTTCAACAAGCTTCAGAAAAAGCCAAAGTCTAGTAATGCAGCAAACAGTAAGATTGGTGGACCTGTTCCGTTCTCCTCCTTCACCCTTTTCAAGCATCAAGCGATGGACTTGGAGTGGCTACTCGCTCGTGAGAAAGCAGGACAAGGTGGCTCAATACTCGCACACGAGATGGGGTGTGTACAACGCGCATGAATGGATAATTACTCATTCAAACTCAAAGTCTCGGAAAGACTGTAACCTCGATCGCGTTAATAAAAAAAGACACTCCAAGAGACGAAAGCAGAAGATTTCAAGAAATCGCCTGTCGTTCCTATTGTGGCTAGTGGAACCGTGAAAACTCCCCCCAAACAACCTAAGACGACATTGTGAAGTCAAATGTTTCTTGTTTCTGTTGTCTCGCTGACACTGCAATAAAGGTGGTCGTCCCTAGCGTATCTCTCCGCGAACAATGGATGCGTGAAATTCGAAAATTCGGTGATGGACTAACAGCGAAAGTTCACGATGGGCACATGAGTAGGTAGATTTCCAGACCTGCCTACGCAATCTAAAATCTACTTCAATATAGGTGTAGACGCTCTCATGGACGCAGATGTTATCGCAAGTACTTCCTAGAGACTGCCCAGTGCTACCTAATCTCTTGTGTAGATCACTACGTATCAGCGAATAGAACGTCGAATGAACAAAGATCCCAAGGATCCAGTTTTTCAAGCACGCTGGTTCCGCATTATTCTAGGTGGCGTGCTCAATGCCTGAAGTGACGATTACCTCAACTGAGTACAAATCGTTGCAGATGAATCGCATAGGGTTGTGGGTTTAGGTGCTTGGTACAAGGCATGCATGGCTTTGCAAAAGCTTCAAGGGCTTTGTCTTACTGGTACCCCGTTTGTAGTGAGTTTGTAGCGATTTGAATACGATCACTGAGCAACAACGGCTTGTATAGAACAAGCTATCCGATATCCAACCCCAGCTCAGATTTCTCGACATCACAAATGAGCGAGGTCCGGTTGCCGAAAGCACCGCTTTCGCAGTGCGCGGCAAACGTGGATACTTCTCCAAGGTTTCCGCACACGCAGTCGCGGTATGTTGTTTCTCCGCTATGCGCAGTCGTTGAGATGAACCTTTTTTAGGATCTTCTTGCGCATTGTGCGCGATATAGGAGAAAGGTGGATGTTATTCAACTTCCGAATCTAGAAATCAAGATTGTTCATGTGTGGCAAACACAAGGGGAGAAGATGATACACGACTGGGCTCGTTCCAGCATCAAAGATTTCGATATGGCGTGGCTGGAAGCCAGGCAAGGTAGTGGATTTGCTTACATATACGGTATGCAGATTATCCTGATAGTTCTTTTTCTCAGCATGCGATCATCCATTGCTACTCATGGGCGTCTTAGGACAATTAATTGAGGAGCAAGGCCTGGGTGCTGATATAACTTCAGATGCAGTAGACATGTACGGACATGGTCGGGGCCCCGATCCGGAAGTTCTCCCATTAAGCCTTCAGCCATTCGCTCGGCTGTTTGGACATGCGTACTTCTCAAGTAAAATCCGCGCGGTAATGGATATCATCACAGGGGTGCCAGAAGGCGAGAAGGCGTTGGTTTTCGTATGTAGGTTTGCCGTTTTTTTGGACTTGCCTCATGTATGCCTGCCCAGTGCTGCTTTAGGGACACGATGGATCTGCTGGAGATCCGGATGAAGAAGATGAAGATAGGGGTGGACCAATGTTCGTATGATACGTCCATTTTATGCAAGTTGGCGTTTGAAAGCCATGCTTATTGTTAGATCACGGCGAACTCTCGACCAAACAACGCATGCAAGTCCTCGACTCTTTCGCGAACGATTCCCGTATGAAAGTTCTCCTGATGTCCATTGATGCTGGTGGTGTCGGACTCAACATTACTGTCGCAAACCATGTTATTCTCGTCAACCCGTGGTGGAGCGGTTGCAAAGAGGTGAGTGGTTAAAGCGAATCGCATTGTCATTGATGTGAAAGGCCAGCAACTTAGGTACAGGCCATTTCTCGATGCCACCGCTTTGGCCAAGACAAGACGGTTTTTGTGTAAAAAGTCATCACACAGGGCTCTGTAGAAACCGATGTTATAAAGTGTCAGGAGGAGAAAAAGGACATCATTGAATATGTGCTAGACTTGATTGCGCTTCCCCCTATCCTCTGGGCTCGAGGGAATGTTTTGTAACCTTACCCGTATATATGAAACTATTGTAACATTATGTCTCACAATGCGTACGCCTGCTTGGATGCTCCTACAAAACAGGTATCGCACCAGCTCAGGAAGAACCTAACGATTATGCTGGTACGCTCTGAACCACCACACCATCAGGGAGTCGTTGCACAGAATATCCATTGCCATATCAACGAGACATACACCATCACTACCGGACGTATTGTCTATGGGCAATAGTAGGTAAATGAGGACCCAAGAATTAACAAATACAAGAGTCTTCTCTACATAGCAGGCCGACGCGCACTTGAGGCAGCTGTCGTTGTAGTGCGCTCAAGGGTAGTCCTTACATTCCGCCCGTTATCACCAGCACTCGCAGTAGTTGAGTCACTTCTGGCGCTCTCAGCACTCGTTGTGGAGTGCATCCTTGGGGAGTGCGTCTTCCTCTGGCCCATGACTGACTGGATGCTCGTATCCCCCGAGCCACTTTCCCGCCTGAAGTGTCTCATGACAGAAAGTCTCCTGGAAGAGTTAGACCCAGTGCGGGAATGGCTCGAGGACGTAGGAGATGATGGGGTATAAGGGGGTGGGTTCATACGTGATCTTGGAGATTGCGGTGAGACGGCACGCTCTTGGGCAGGTTCACCGTGACTGTTGGCGTTCTTTCTGTCTGGGGTGCTTGGTCGGCTTGACGGTTGGATGGCAAGGAATGGAGTGATTACGTCAGCTGCATCGGATAACGCAGGGGCGATATGAGGCGCCAAAGGCGAAATAGGCATAGCATGCCCAGCAGAAGTGGGTGAAGCGATGTGAAGCGAATGGAGGCTTGTTACTGAAGGACCGTTGGGAATATTATTGGACCGAATAGCGTAAGAAGAGGTGGACATGGCAGCTGATGTTTGAGGGTATCCAGATGGCGCGAGAGGAGTGCGTATCGTCGAGTCTTGGGTCGCCACAGCGAAGTGTGAACCATTCAATATAGGAAGTGTCATTTTGTGCGGGAATTTCCCTGCTCTTCTGCGTTTCCGGAAAATAATGAAGAAGCAAAAACCGCATAACAGAATTAGTAGAACCATTCCTCCGACAACGCCTCCAACAATCGGACCAACAGGAATTTCTGAAGATGGGCCCGAAGTGGGCGAACTTGAACTGCTAGTAATGGGTGATCCATTCAAGTCGGGTTTTGCTGATAGAAGTTAGTGCGCATTCGACTGACATATTCGATTGAGCTTACACATATCACTAAGATCAGTAGCAATGGACTTGTCAAATGTCCCATTGGAGTAGTTACTAGCTGTAAGATCATTCTTGGTAAAGGAGTTTAGCGATCCTGCTATTAGAACTTACGATTGTAGCTTGCATAATAAGGTATTATTGAGGTGTTAGAAGGGAGCCATATTCCCGAATCCCAAGGAAAGTATCTTTGAGAGACACGTAAAACACTACATCAGTAGAGAACAAACGCATATAAACTCACGTTGTTGTTGATGTCAATCCATTACAGTTCTTTATCCATGTATCCCAGCTATGCCAAATTTGCCAAAGCGAACAGCGAGTGGACTTAAGACACTTACCTCACCAAAGAGGGCGAGTTCGTGGCACAATACATACAAGCACTCAGCAAATTGTAGCTTGCCCAGGAACTGTTTGTAGTATCCATTCTCATTTTAAAAATCACACCAAATTTACACGAATGTTACTCACCAAGTGCACAAGGTTGCATTTGAGCTAACAGGAACGAAGGGATCCTCGGAAGAGGAAGGGGAGATAGTAGTATCTGAAGCGACTCAGGCATATCACAAAGCTTAGTAGTAGGGGACTTACTCGTAGTATTCGGGCACGAATTGTATACCGTTGTCACTATATCGCATGGGGATTCCTGATGGGTGTTCACAGACCAAGGTGCCAATGCACATGCCATTTTGGCCTGTCAACGATTGAGGGAGCTTTAGGTTATGAACAAAGCCGTGTGAAAGATGGTAGAGTGCCAGAGACGCAATGGATATGGCAGTGATCTGTAAGTCGAATGTTGACGGCAGCGAATGAAACCAGGGAAGAAACAGTGACAGCGGATGGAGGGTGACAGCTTAGCTGCGAGGTGACAGGTGAAGCGACTTGGAGATGGTGCACGGCTAAACGCGGGCCATAGGTCTTGGATAGTAGGTGCGCCCATTATCACGAAGCTCCGTGGACCAAGTTAGTAATAATACGGATGGCCATGATAGGAATGGGTAAACCTCCGTTTTGACAAACTGGGGGAACTTCGAAGATGGACCTGACTCCTTGGCAAGTGAATCGGGTAATAAAGATATAGCCGCATGTACATTACGGTACTAGTGCCCGTCAAGAGTTGCTGTGATACTGACAACCTGGGTTTACAACTCGGATGTAACATGCTAGGGCCCAGTCTCGAGTCGACATCGAGCTCAAGTCTTATTGTGAAGAGTTAGTCAACAAGTCGTTTACAAATTCCCACATGTAGGTTGAAGGTTCTGCCCGGTTCCGAGTCAGCGCTCATCATGGCATATATATCTTCGGTCCGCGCATAAAGGCTGTTCTAGTCAGCCAGGTCACCAGATAGGGCTGGGACCAGAAAACGTAACGATATGCCTGACATTCTTGTTCCTCACGCCCCATGACATGATTGACATTGATTGATCGTTCACCTACTGCATCCTAGCCTGCTCCTCCAACATGGTGTCCTTGTGTTTCTATGGTTTTGTGGCCATCATTCCATATGTTCTGATTACCCTGGCTTTGCAAGTTCATCCAGTCAAGCGCAGTGACGTTTCAGCTGCCTCCTGTGCCAGTGAATACTCGTGGATGGAAGACAGTCAGGGCTACTCGCCTTGTACTACTGTCGCTTATGTAGAGGGCGCGTGCACTGGGAACAGTATGTGGATTTTGCTTGTTTCTCAACTGTAAACTCATGTGCGCGCTCTAAGACTATGTCCAGCCAATCCTGATCAACGGCTATTCGTACTCCTTACCAAATTCTTCGACCGCAAATGAATGTTATTGGCAAGTGGGGTTACAACTGCGTCTTCGATTGTTCTGATATCAGAGCAGTTCTTGGGCATCTTATAATCTTATGATGGCATGCACCCTATGTCAAGAAACTACTAATGTTTCTGTCTGGGAGCAAGTTTTCCATCTCGTGTTTCCCGAGAAATATTAATGATCAAAATAGATGGCCTCAATGGGCATCCGGGTGCACCACGAACCAATCATGGACACAGGAGTTTGTTCATGTTTCACATTTATTGAGCTGCGCTCACAATATCTTACAGATATTTCCCTTCTGCTTCTGGATATGTGCTTGCTGGGGGTGCGTCTATACCTTACTGGGCTGCTATTGATCGTGAGTCGAATGTGTCTTCCGAACGCATGATACCAATGGAGGATTTTTAGCGACAACATGGACATACGAGACGTTCAATATCCAAGATGCGAACGCTACTTATCAAAAGAGTATGTTAGATTCATTCTATCTCTCCATCACTGTTGCTGATCTGGTCCAGATTCTTCTAGCATCACCCCGGGCGTCTCGTCGTCGTCTAGCGGTTCAGGTTCAAGCCCATCACCTAGCAGTTCAAGTTCAAGCTCAAAATCAACTGATGTGGGTGCGATAGTTGGCGGTACCGTCGGAGGTGCAGCCGCACTTCTTTTTCTCGTCATTGCTGCCTATCTACTGTACAGACGCCACGTATACAGGAAAGGAGTTTATGCCTCTGCTATCAACCAACAAGGGACAACTTTTATGCCCCTATCAGGCACACATAACCGTATCCCCTCCGATACATCCGACTTTGCTCCATCAATGTCAGGTCCTCTTACGTCGTATGGGCAGTCCGTATCACCGTCGCAGCAGTATGAGACTACATATTCTTCACAACCTCAGACAGCATACCCATCTCTCCAGAGTTCATTCTCCCCTCCTCCACGGACAGATGCGTCCGTCTACACCACAGCTACTAGTAACGGTCAACGTCCCGATGTCATACCAATGGTTTAAAAGTTTTTTTATACTTGAAATGTCAGGCGCGCCTGCATTCGGTACGTTATATATATTACCCCTGACTAATTTCGAGACTTTACTTATTTTTCTATGGTATGCAAAGCAGGAATCAAAGAATTTCTTGCTCCACATTGTATCAACACGTCGCTTACGCCGTCTTATGAAATCCATGATAATGCCGTTGGTGTCAAAATAACAATGTTCTTGTTGAGATTGCTTATGTCGCTCCTTCGTTCTCTTGTACTGCCAACTTGTATATCCCCAGAAGCACAATCCCAAATTTGCGCATCAGTGCAAAACTTCACCCTACAGGACGAAGGCTACTACTACTTGCTAAAATTCAAGTCCAGATCCTCCAAAATTTCTTGACTGAGCTGATGCCATGACGATGAGACCGACGGAGTTGTCGGTGATAAAGTAAAGCTGCGCCCCGCATTGTATAGCCGCACGGGTGTTGAATTAATGAATTCGACCCTGTGACGCAATCTGAAACGGTTCGGATCGAAGAAAAGACAAGTCGAAACAACTGCAATGCATGAGACCTATTATGTAGGGTGGTACGATTACTCGTTATGTTGTCGACGGTGTCGCGGTGGTTTGGAAAGTTAAATTTTGGGGTGTAAGACTACGCAATGAGAATAAGAACTAAAGAATTTTGTTTGTCTGAGCTCCGTTGAACCGGCAACAGTGACATGATTACGTAATTGTAGTGTCGAGCGGACGCCGGAAACTGATTTCCAATTAATGTTTCCAACAAGACATTGGCGACCTTTGTTTGACACCATTTGACCCGTCACCCCCAGGAGTCTTTTGAAAGTACTAGTTTCATATCTCAATCTCACAGACTCAATATTCAGCGATTCATGAGGCAAGAACTTTATAACACATTGGCCCGGTCATATGTTACCGTACGGTGCATGTCATGATGCCAAGTTAAGGTCATGGGATCTGCCTCTTCCAAGCGGTAGGACGTGGAGATAAGAGCATGCTGTACTCATTAGAATAACCCGCATGCTTTCCCACATCCTTCCAGTGTATCTGAATGCACCATGCTCGTGTCCTTAGGTTTCCATCTTACGGTTGTGTCTGTGATTTTAGGTGTTCCGACTATCCTGGCCGTACAAGTTCATCCAGTCAAGCGCAATGACGTCTCAGCTGCTACATGCATCGATGGATACTCATGGATGGACAACAGTCAGGGTAACTCGCCTTGCCTTACAGCCGCTTATGTAGGGGGTGCGTGCACCGGGAACAGTATGTGGATCTTCCTTGTTTCTTGGCTGTAAACTCATGCGCACGCTCTAAGACTACGTCCAGCCAATCCTGATCAATGGCTATTCGTACTCCTTACCAAATTCTTCGACCGCAAATGAATGTTCTTGGTAAGTGGGGTCACAACATGCGGTTTCGATCGTTCTGATATCAGAGTAGTTCTTGGTCGTTCTATAATCTCATGATGGCCTGCACTCTATGTCAGGGAGCTAATGATTCTGTTGTCTTTGAGTGAGTCATCCATCTCGTATTCCTCGGGAAGATTTAACGTTTAAATAGATGGCCTCGATGGTCATCCGGATGCGCCACGAACCCATCATGGACACAAAAGTTTGTTCATGTTTCATATTTGTTGGGCCGCGTTCACAATATCTTGCAGGTATTTCCCTTCTGGATATGAGCTTGCTGGGAATGCGTCTATACCTTACTGGGCTACTATCGATCGTGAGTTGGTTGTGTCTCCTAAATGCATGATACCAACTAATGAGTTTTTTTTTAGCGACAACATGGACAACCGTGACTTTCAATATCCTAGATGCGAACGCTACTTATCAAAGGAGTATGTTGGGTTGGTTCTATTTCTCCATCACAGCTGTTGATCTGGTCCAGATTCTTCTAGCATCACCCCGGGCTCCTTATTATTATCTAGCGGTTCAAGCTCAAGATCAACTGACATGGGCGCGATAGTTGGCGGTACCATCGGAGGTGCAGCCGCACTTCTTTTTCTCGTAATTGCCGCCTATCTACTGTACAGACGTCACGTATACAAGAAAGGAGTTTATGTCTCTGTTATCAACCAACAAGGGAGGACCTTTATGTATGAGACTGCATATACTTCACAACCTCAGACAACATACCTACCTCTTCCACGGATAGATAGTAACGGTCAACGTCCTAATGTCATACCAATGGTTTAAATGTATGGTGTATCTTACAAGTTTTTTATACTTAAAACGTCAGATGCCCCCGCATTCAGTACCTTATGCTTATTATCTAGAGTTTGCTGAATTTTATATAGCGAGCAAAACAGAGATCAGGGAATTCACTCCAGACGTCATTTATGCCGAGACTCTTCTGAATAGTGATTGCGATTACTCAGCATGCTTTCCGTTCTCTTCCAAAGCCAACTCCCCAGAGTTGCCCCAGAGGCACAATATTTCCCAACGTTACGCATTAGTTCAAAGTGCCACCCTTCCGAATTTTACAGGACAAAGGCTAACACTACTTCCCAAACTTTGAGTGGAGATATTTAGCTACAACTTCCGCGTTATAGCCGCACAGGTGTTGAATAAGTAACCGCAAGCTGAAACGGTTAGGATCCAGATGCCATTTCTGAAGACAAGTCGAAGCAGCTAGAATCGTATGATTGATGGCATGGACCTAATTATAACGATGTAGGGATTCGTCGTTATCTTGTCGACGATGATGCTGCAGCCTGAGTGCTCGACAAATTTGACACCGGATTCGACCTGCTGTGCAGGTGTTACTTTTGTATAATCTCATACTCAAATCTTACAGACTCAATATTCAGTACTAGCCCTTGCCAATCGGCGATTCATCCGACAGTCAAGAACTTCATAACACATTGAACCCGGTCAGATCTTGCGGTGCATGCCATGATTTCATCAAGGTCATCAGATATGCCTCTTCCGACGATGGAACGTGGAGATAAGAGCATGCTTGTACTCATTAGGATGACCCGCATGCTTGCCCACATCCCTGACCCTCTTCCAGTGCATTTGAGCCGACACTATGGTCACGTCCTCGGGTTTCTATCTTCTTGCGTCTGTTATTTCGACCACCATGGCAGTACAAGTGCAACCAGTCTCCCGCCTTGTCAGCTCGCCTGCTACCTGCAATGATGGATACTCATGGATGGACAACAGTCAGGGCAACTCGCCTTGTCTTACAGTCGCTTATGTAGAGGGTGCGTGCACTGGGAACAGTAAGTGGATTTTGCTTGTTTCTCAACTGTAAACTCATGTGCGCGCTCTAAGACTATGTCCAGCCAATCCTGATCAACGGCTATTCGTACTCCTTACCAAATTCTTCGACCGCAAATGAATGTTATTGGCAAGTGGGGTTACAACTGCGTCTTCAATTGTTCTGATATCAGAGCAGTTCTTGGGCATCTTATAATCTTATGATGGCATGCGCTCTATGTCAAGAAACTACTAATGTTTCTGTCTGGGAGCAAGTTTTCCATCTCGTGTTCCCCGGGAAATACTAATGATCAAAATAGATGGCCTCAATGGGCATCCGGATGCGCCACGAACCCATCATGGACACAGGAGTGTGTTCATGTTTCGCATTTGTTGAGCTGCGCTCACAATATCTTACAGATATTTCCCTTCTGGATATACGCTTGCGGGGGATGCGTCCATACCTTACTGGGCTATTACTAATCGTGAGTTGGTTGTGTCCTCCGAACACATGATGCCAACCGAGGAGATTTTTTAGCGACAACATGGACATACGAGACGTTCAATATCCAAGATGCGAACGCTACTTATCAAAATAGTACGTTAGTTTGTTTTCGTCTCTTCATCACTGATACTGATCTGCCCCAGATCCTTTCGACACAACCCCGAGCGCCTCATCATCATCCATCAGTTCAAGCTCGAGCCATTCGACCACAAGCTCAAAATCAACTGACGTGGATGCGATAATTGGCGGCACCCTCGGAGCCTTGGCTTCTCTCTCGCTTTTTGCGGTTGGCGCCTATCTAGTGTATAGACGTCACATGTACAAGAAAGGACAATACGCCTCTGTCATGCACCGGCAGCCATTCGTCAGCAGCGGCGATGGCGCAGCAGCTCACATGACACACAATCGTTTTCCGCCCGATTCATCCAACTTTCCTGGGTCATTCGGCTCTTTTGTGTTGTACGGGCAGTCCTTGTCTACTGGGCCGTCGCAATATGGGACAATTTACTCTTCACCGCCCCAGACGACTTACCCTTCTATGCAAGGCTCATTCACACCTCCCCCACGGACGGACACATCTCTCTACACCACACACAGCAGGCATCACTCCAATGCCATGCCAATGGTTTAAGCCAGGTGTTTCGGGCCTTGGACTGTCGGACGCACAAAAATTACTGTGACGGGGACTTATTATGGACCAGTCCCGTTGTTCGCAATCTTACTTATTTTGCTATGACGCACAAAATATAAGCAAAGCGGGGTTTCTTTGTTTCCGCGCGTCCTATCAGTGTTTCGTACATCCCATCGTTCCCATCATCTTAGACATGAACTTCCGTCGTTATTAAAATGGAATATTTCATTGATCACGAGAGATTCTTTTGGTGGGTTTGTCGTGCTCGAAGTCTCGGGTGACATGAGGACTTGATCAGCTGCTACCATATTTGGATCATATCGTTGTGTTGCCCATATTGATATTGATACCTCGCTATATAGCTAGCGCCTAATGGCAAAAAACAGGGATCCTCCTCAGCAAAAGCCGCGAAGTTCTAGAGCTTGCATAATTATGAATGGTAGAATTAGTCCGCTAGCTTCTCATGCAGTGACTCGGCAAGCTTCGAATATTGACGACGAGCTACTGGCATGCCTCCGTAATGAGCTTAGACTCGGGGGTCTGGAACATGGGAGGGGGCGTGCCGCAGGAGAAGCACGATCAGGAAATAGTCCTTTAGATACCAATTGCAAGAGGAAACGAGTTTTTCTTGCACAATGCTGCCCGTAATGTAATCTGTAGGAAATTTACAAATCAAAAACAGTGTAAGCTTATATGCGCGGCACGAGGTGGGAATTATTCCCATAATAAAGAAGAAATGACTTGCCGTTCCCTTCTATTTGGTAGAGGGGGAAACTAAATCATTACATACTACGTACATATTGTTGAAAAGACCGTCGAGCGAGTTCTTAATACACACACGTAAATGTATGACCGGGCAGTATGGCGACAGAGAAAACTTCGCGGTGGGAAGTAACCTCGCCGTCTCGCAGACTGAGGAGACCGTCGTTATATCGTAGTTTGCGGAGGGGGGGGGGGGGATCTTTTGACTGCGAAGTTACGTTGCGTATGCGCCGAAGGAAGGATTGGGAGTGAGGTCGAAGGCAAGAATGAATGATCGCTCTGAAGATCCAATATACGCTTGAGACCTCCAAGGTTGAGTACTGAGTGTCCCCCTGGGAAGAATCAGCATGCGTGTTGTACTAGAATCGCAATTTGGGACACCGCAAATAAAATTTTGATCTGTGGCCGATTCCGCCCCTCAGATCGGTCTTGCTGCTTCGTCGTCGTCTAAAACGTCGTCATGCCGAACGTAATGGCTGGAGCCTGTCTTCGATAAACGTGTCTGGAACCAAAAGAATAATATTTGTTGAGCCTGCTTGTTTGTCGAGCATCGTCTCCTTGATTTCTGCTCGCGAAGCACTCTGTTACTTAGTCTAGGAGATGTTCCGCGTCGCTTGTCGACGCTGACAAGATCACGCCCTCCGCGGATTTGAACGGCACGAGGATGCACTTATTGGAGACTGAATTAATGACCTATCGCGATGTAGCGTAAAGGTAGTGGTAGAATCGAGTAATCTATTAACAATCAAGATATTTTGGTGCGACTTACGTCCAACATGATTTCAGCTAGACATTCCACAGATGGACTGACTCAATTTTGCGCTTAAATGGTGCAGAATAAATCATTATTGATGAATTGATTGGACAATGTTAAAGAGTAGCGTTAGAAGAGCTGTCAAACGGATAAATTTCGTAGCAATTAGGTCTGCATGGTGTGACAACTAATGAGCACGAGGCGGGAAGACTAAAAGAAACTCAACTTAGGTTATCATACGGGTGGGAGCAGATGAATTGTCAAGGGTGCTCGGTAGATGCTGAATTTATGGCTGCTTGCAGCATTTCGGTAACTGTTGGAGGCGCAACTGTGCGCTGTCGAATTGAAAGACCTGCTGAAGCTTCACCATCGACATTCATGGCATCTGAGCCCGCGTCAAGTTCTTTTTTGCGTTTTGTCGCCAAGAAATGCAAGTACGCCAGGCTATGTTGTGGGGCTGGCGTTCGAGCGATATTCATCGGAGGACCGCCAAACCAGAACAGCTCGTTTGTGTCCGGAGAGCGATCAAAATGTTTTGCTAACAAAACGTGTAAGCGGGTTAGAAGATAATGACAAAAAAACATCTTACTCGTTTCGGGGGGAAGCTTGTCGACGATTGGGGGAACAGTCAAATTTCCTGCCGCGGTCAGCATGGTCCGGTCACGATTGTCCTCGTGCGTGTGAGTCTTAGGAGGACTGTGCACAATTTCGACTAGTCTGTCCTGTGGCAAAGCAAATATGTAAGTATAAGAACGGGGATTAAACATCACCACGGTTGAGTGGTCTATTGATGAATACTCGCCTTGTTGACCTCGGAGATCCCTAGTTCTCCAACGCCTTGCCATCTTGGGATATTTTTCTCAAGCTGGCGGCCGATCGCCTCACTATCGCCAACCCTTTCTTCTGCAGCCACTGGTGCTTTTAGAGGAGTTGATTTGGTGGTCTGTGATTCGGAAGCTGGAGGTACAGCGGGTGTTGGGGCTGTTGTCCTTAGTTTGGTTGTTGTAGAAGTAGAAGGCTGTATAACAAAGGACTGCGGCGGTGCAGCGGGAGCCGTTCCGTGGACCTTTTGAGCAGATGAAGGAGGTGGCGAGTGTCGGGGTACAGGGAGAATGCTTCTCTTCTGCCATTCAGTTTCGAGTACGGTCTGAATGCGAATAGATAACGTTGGGACCGCGGACAAGAAGTGTCGAACGTACCTTGAGAGTCTGCGCATCAGTAGCAATTTGACTATCTGGTTCGTTGTAGAACAAAGCGTTCCAAAACACGAGGGACAGATCGGTATAGGCGTTTGAGGCGTCCTTGTATCTATTCCGTTCTACGCTTGACTTGATGGCGTTGATACATCGGGGTTCTGGTATGACCTATTGAAATCGAAATAATTGGGAGATTGAATGTGGAGTTGTTTGTTTGAAATACCTCGTAATATTCAGGCCACTCTGATCTATCGACGAGATCCATAAACAATTCAGATAATTGACGTTTTCCACGAGCTGGAGTTGTTGCGACTATAATTTCAATGACTTCCTCTATAGCAGATTTCTGTGCTGGTGTTATTGTCATGGTGAAAAAAGCGTTGTTTTGGAATGTTTGTCAAAAGCCTTGAAAATTAACAAGAGACTACAAACGTAATTGATTTTGGAACTATGAAGGAACTTGATCTTGTTGCTATCTAGAAATGAATTTCCTGTGTACCGGCGGCTGCGTCAGGATTGAAAGCATGCATATCCAGCGAGCTACTCTTCTATTTCCATCTAACACGAGGAATGCTTCATTTCCTCGAATGCACCGGGATCGTCGTTTGCTTATATCTGCGTGAAAAAGGCAGCTTATGGGACATGATTGTAGTACTCAGACAACGAGGCTTCACCGAGCGTGGTATTTCCGCTCCGCCGAGAATCAAAGTTGTTGTTGCTCGACTGAACTCGTGCCACCCCATTAGAGTATGATATTCATCATTTCCCGCAGCGCTACCCTCAACAACACGCGGTTGTCCGAGGCTTCTTGCGAAAACGGTGAGTTCAAGATGAGTTATTCGATGAACTTTTGCAAAAAGAAAACACAAAAACAACGGTGTGAGCCGCTGGGGTCCAATGCTAATTTCTGCCGTAAACCCACTTGTTCGTTGCCTGGGCCTTCATAGATCTCAACCTCGTTTTCTTTATGTCTTTAGGGTTACAACGGATGTACCCAACAAACTATATATATAAGCTTTCATCCTCACAGAATTGGCGTGAACTTCATCCTCCCCTGTCATGATGCACTCTCCAAGCCCTCTAGTCCGGCACCAAAACTTTCGGCAGCACCATATACAAAGCCCTCAACTCGGCCAATCTTTTTCCCACTCAAACACGTCGGATTGGGTCGCAGGCTTCTTAGAAAGATCATCCATCTACGACCCATACGATATACAGAGCGGTAGATGTTCTCTCCAAGATAGCGGCCCATCGACAACGTCGGCCCTACGTGCCATGGTCACCGGACCACCTATATCTTTAGATATACCCCCATCTTTAGCTAACTTTCGTACCATCGCCGGCGGCCATACCTCATGTGAGTGGTCCGACCCACTGCCTTTATACTACCAGCAACAACTACACTACCAATACCCTGCATGCGATAAAAGCCCTTCCTCGTCTCATTTTTCTTCTTCGTCGCACTCTTACTGTATTGATCTTCCAACATCCTCAAACATGGTTCTTCCATCTCATTCAAGTTCATCCCCACCCCTCCCACCTGCCCTCCCATTACCGGGGCCTTCCACCACAACCCCTGCAGAGATAACACAATCCATTCGCACAGCATGCGCCAGTTCTTCCAGGTCCGCCTCATCCCGCAACACAAAGAGTGAAGGTTCAGGCCCAAGACCACGGGAAAAGAAGCATGCTTGCTGGATGTGCGAGAAGTCCTTTGATAGGCCCTCCACATTGAGAAAGGTCAATATTATTTTGCCACTAAAAATAGCTAGCTCATGTCAAAGGTATCTGCCTTGCAGCACCTGCTCGTACACACAGGAGAAAAAGGTATGCGACAATATCTCTAGGGTCTTACAACGCTAAAAACTCGAAATTGTAATTCTAGCATTTGTGTGTGACACTTGTGGCCGTCGTTTTGGCGTTGCCTCTAATCTTAACCGTCACGTTAAGCGGTGCATTCTTAAGCCCGTAAACACTGCGAATCGCACAAACCAGATGTCATCTAGTGACTCTGCTGGGACGTCACAAGAAGCCACATCCGTCCTGCCATCCGCTGCCTCACTTTCCACTGCCGCATCACCAGATTCAGATCCACGACCGAATAAGCGTGCTCGCGAGGAATCGACTACGTCACCATCAGAACAACCCAAGGCATCCACGAAGAGGCGACGTCGTGCTCCGTCCCCGTCGCAATGGATACCGACATCCCTTCTTCCATTCAACCTTTTCCCCGTGGAGTCAACAAAAGCGACTACCGTCCCCCTTCCACCAGTTACGGCAGTCAAAGATGAGGTATCCAACGAATGGCTTGAGGAACGCAACTCATGGGATGAGAGTGTTGGCCTCACGCCATATCACCCATGTGGGTGGAAAGGCACCCTCCCGGGCCCAGCCGTAGGGTTCGGCGGCAAAGATGTAGGGAACGTCGGCCTCGTGAATGGAGGAACGTACGTTATGGGAAGACTTGTCATGGTCTAACCATTTTGGCATCTGCCGCGTTCTTCCCTGGATTCTTGACTTTCTCGCTCTTGCTGATAGAGCTAAGAGTTTTTCTTGTCGTTCTCGCCGGTTCATTGGACTTCATTGGTTTTTTAGTTTCGACCCAGCATTTATTCATGACACGTCACCTAGTACCCTCCAGCTTTACATCTGGCCTCATCACTATTTGCTTGATTTTTTTTGGCCCGTTAGGGGTTTTTGAAGTGCTGGTCATTGACTGTGTCTCCATGCATCTAAATTACGATTGTTCCGAGTACGTACTGTAACGTTAGCTTGTTATGAGAATTGTGCATGTATCGAGTATTATCCTGACGATAATCTATTCTGTTGTTGCTCTTCGCCAGTTCGAGCCCAGAATTTCAAGTTGGCGTACCTCGACTGTTTTTTTTTCATAGTGATGTTGCCGGTGTTTTGTTCAACTGGTTTGGGGAAGGCAGCACGCCCAGCGGTCACCACGAAGGTGCCTTGAACAGCTTATCAGTCCTCGGAGTTTGTTTTAGCGCCGGTCTAGCTGAACTCTCGTTTGGAAGAGATTGGGCCTTTTTTAAATCTCCTAGCAGGTGAAAGACCAGTATTGGGGCTGCAAAATCGTGCAAGTACTTCGGAAGTAGGAAATAACATAGTAAGTATCTCGAGACAGGCTTGCGACATTTTCAGCATGAGGCAGCATGCCATGCTGAACGTTATTTTTTAAAGTTGGCCTCACACTAGGGGAGATAATAAAACCCGGTGAGTGTGGCGTCTGTCTCTCCTTCCAAATGTACATGTTGGAATGATCATATGATGTTTTCGCGTGATTTACAGGAAAACTGATTCACTGTTTGGAGCATTCTCGCTACCAAGGCGGACAAACCCCTAGGGAAATATTGCTATCGGAGTTGGCTCTTTTCCAGAGGCTCCCGATCACGATGTGGTGGGTTAGTGGCAAACTTATCAAGTACAGCAAGTACAAAGCCGTATGCACATCACACCAAACGGTTAACTTCAGCTATCCGGTGCTAGATTTACCTGGGAAAACGTTCGCCTCGTCCCATCTTCCCAAGACCCCCTTTCAAGGTTCCTCGGGTACGCTTTGTGGCAACTGCGCAGGTGTGATGAGGCAAAGCGAAGAGAAAATCCTCTACGGAGAACAATTAGACATTTTTGGTCATGACCCACGCCATGATCAAAATTCTCGGATTGCAACCCGCGCCAGATCGGGGTCGTACACTCTAGCTACAGCGCTTCGGAGAAGCCTGTTCCAGGATTATCAGCATATCGCAGTATCCCCTTTCCCCATGGCTCCGCCACACATCCACCTCTGCGCCAGCTTGATGACGATGTAGGATCATGATATTGGCATCTTCGTCGAGTTCTTGCTTCCTCGAAATGTACGCATGATTAACAGGAAACGTGGCGTTTTCAGTAGATCGTTCGTCTTAGGTTAACCTTATCTTTCTGTATCACTGAAGATATTGTGGAACACACCCTAAGACTTTGATTGTGATATAAAGATCGTAAAACTACTCACCTCGACTATAATAGATCGTGACGAGCATTGCGTTATCGTCTATCAGGCGCATGTTCGACGCAGTTTGCAAAAAATTCCCCGAGTGATCAACATTGTTCGCACAACATGTCAACGATACAGTTGACGCAGTGCTGAAAGGTCTCAAATGGCGACTGGTGTGTCGTGATCCTTCCCCGCTCTGTATATCGCCGATAACATATAAGTCGAGCTTACCGTCACCTGAATGATAATTTGAACAAGACCTTTAATCAGCGGCATCGGCATGGTCTCGTGCTATGTACTCACTCTGATCGAGCTGATCCGACTCGGAGGCTTCCCTACGTGGGCGATCATGACGTTGGCGATGAACTGGTGCGGCTGGCAATGTGCCTGCAGACCAACTGCAGACAAAAGCTACCTGAACGCTGACTAAGCTACACATTAACAAATGGTGGCAAACACTTGCCAGTGGACAAGTTACCCGCACGATAGATATTTGTGATTTGTACCATTCGAATTCGAAGTGGAGTATGGATTTATCCGTGATCAAAGATAACGAAAACACGGTATACTGGCAATTTTGAAGCTCATTAATTAAGCGCCGCGATATACTTACCATAATGAGCATTTAGCACATTGCGCAAAACAATCAGTGTTCACTACATCCTTGCTCAAAGGTCTACCCACTGTGAGCAATGGTACGTAACTCGGACATATTTTGTAAACACGAGCAGCTGTCTAACTCCGTTACTGAGATGGAGCTCACTATAGTGTGGATCAGCTTCGGTATAGCAGGTTCCAGTAACTCAGGAACGGAAAAACGAACTAGTGGCCAACCCAATCATCGAGCTTGACTTTATAATTGTAATTCTTTCACAGCCCATGTATATGGCCATCGTCATGGATGCTTACAGCCACGGAAACATGGGATTCAAGTGGGGATCGTCGGCTTCCTCGTGGTGGATCGATCAACCGTGAAGCTTTGAAGATTCAGAAATGCTGTAATTGGAGCGAAGGGGAGTTGTGCATCGATGGATGTTCTGCAAAACCACTGTGATACGCAGTCTATCATATAGCTTATCTGTCCTTTCTCGGGGGCTTTTCGGCAAGTGAGCCGAGTGCTAGTAGAAGCCTAGAGTTTGCATTTGAAGAAGTAGAGATCTACAATTTTGCAGTAGGTCAAAGGGTATATTTGGGGTCGTCCAAGCTCTTGATAATCTTTGTGGGTTCATACAGGTTTTCCGCAATGAATTTTCCATCTAAAAGGCCAAGTTTTAGTATCCCTCATATCATTTTATGAAGATCACGGCGTTTACTTGGCTCATCATTCTGCTCGGCTCTCCATATTGCCTCTTCCATGTCTCTAGCCACACCCGTGAGGACGTGCCTCTTGACCAATCGCCGCTTCGCTTCCTCTAAATCTACCTGTATCCACCACCGTTCGTCCATTAGCTGTGCGCCCTGCTCCCATATCTCGTGATTTAACATAGAGTATAAACCCTCGATCACAACTAGGCGGTGGGAAGGGCATATCGTCACGGCATGAGGGGTAGGATCTTTTAGGGCATGATCAAAAGAAGGGGCAGTTATCACAGCAGTTGCCGGCTGGCGCAAAAGCTTCGCAAACTCGACGTAAGATGGACCGTCAAAAGTCCAGTGTGCACCGCGACGATCATGCGCAAGTTTAGGATCCAACATAGCATCTAGTTGTGCACGCGTGAGATGCCACCCATCCAAGCCAACCAAAATGGCGGAAGTGTGAAGCGTGGAACTATCAGCAGCCAAAAGCACGTTGACTTTGGCGACTATCAGCTCAGCCAAGGTTGATTTGCCTGATGCAGGGACGCCTGCGATAGCAACCAAGAGCCGCTCTCCAATCGCTTTACTGGCTAACCATCAAATCAAACAGCATTTGAGTCTTTAAAATAAACGTACAGTTTGAGTTGCTGTACGAGATAGCTGGCGAGGTCTTCTGCAATGCTGTCCATGGCGTTTGGCGCCGGTAAAGTCATCCATCGAGATGATACTGGGGCTGTGTATTACGTCATGAGTCTTATGACCCCAGCTTTTACCCACCGACTACTCGTATATTGAGTATTATCAAGGTTCAGCGAGTCGGCACAGCAAATAGGAACTATGAAATGTGAAATTTCAATAATTATTTCAAGGTGAATTATGTCAGGAACGGAACTCCACGGTATTTACATGTGTTTCTGACTTTAATTCTGGCTCTTGGGTCTAGGAGTAGCTGCGTAGCATCATCTTGCTTTGTTTCACACAATGTCGGGCGAAGGACGAGTTCTCAAGAGGTATGTTTATTTTCATACTCACTGAGTCACGGTTACTCATCACCTTGAACCTTACCGCAGAGCAAACCCAAAGACAATACAGGACAAATTCCTAGTTGGATATCAAGGATGGTGCGTTCAAGTATTTCTTAGATGCAAGCTCGTAGGCCGTTCAGGTTTCATAATCATCTATGAACGTCTCTGGAGTGGTCTCAAGTCGCAGACGGATGATGGGATGCATATAGTGAGCCTCGTACTCAACATTACTTTTACAGGTTTACCTGTCAAGGAGATGGCGAACCCTGGGATCCTAACCACCATGGGTGGCTGCACTGGTTCGATAAGCCAATCCCAGACGGTGGACACCCCAATACCGATCTATGGCCAGATGTATCTGATTACTCCCCATCCGAACTGTACCCTGCCCCAGGTCTCAAAAACGCAGACGGAGAACAAATGTTCCTATTCTCTTCGCGCCACTCGAAGACGGTGAGACGCCATTTCCACTGGATGGCGTTGCACGGTGTCGATGGCGCGTTCTTGCAACGATTTGCAGGCCAATGCGACTTAGATGCGGGCTCAGTAATGAGGAATCTCAGAGATGAAGTAGGTGATCGTGTTCGAGAGGCTGCTGAAGCAGAGGGAAGGGTCTTTGCCATCATGTGCGCATACTTTTTAACTCAGTTTGATCGATATTCATCGTGTATCTAGGTATGATGTCTCGGGTGTTCACCCAGACAAGATTCAGCGAGTGCTCGAGCAAGATTGGATACATCTCATGCATGATAAATCTATTCTAGATAGCCCAAATTATCTTCGCGAAAAAGGCAGCCCGGTCATAGCTCTATGGGGTATGCGTGTAGATGTTATCACTCTAGTTGTTTAACTCATCTACCGCCCAGGTTTTGGTTTTAACGATAGAAACCACTCACCTGAAGTCGTACGATCTATCACCAATTTCTTTCGTTCCTCTACGCCAGGCGGTGCTTACCTTATGGCAGGCGTGCCTGGACACTGGCGCACATTGACATCTGATAGCGACCGAAACCCCGAGTTCTTGCGAGTTTGGACAGAGGAGTTTGATGCATTAAGCCCTTGGACCATCGGACGTTATGGAAACGAAGAGGATGCGGAACGCTGGGGGAATGAAAAAGTCAAACAGGACTTTGATTTCTTGAAGCAAAGAGGAGATGAAGGCAAAAAAAGAGTAGATTACATACCCGTAGTACTTCCTGGAGGCAGCGTGGGTTTAGTAATACTTGTCTATGATCACTGTCTTTCTGATCATCATTATGTTCTACAGGGTTATAATCTTTCTGGCGGCCAATGGGGACTTAATGACATAAAGCGCAACGGGGGGCACTTTCTCTGGAAGCAAATATATGCTGCTCGACGCGCAGGGGTGCGCATCATTTACGGGGCCATGTGGGATGAATATGACGAGGGAACAGCATTCATGCCTGTTGTCTCTTCTTCAAAGCAACTTCCTGTTCACCCACAGTTTAATTTTCTAGCGCTCGACGCCGATGGCTATTCACTCCCTTCAGACTGGTATATGCGCATAGCTGGTTTCGCCGCTGAATCGTTACGCGGTGATCGAATGATACACGATACATTTCCCCTCAAGGAGTTACAGGATTATTGGGCAACACGCCCCAGGTATGAAGATAAAACAGCTCACGAGGAAGAGGCGGAGCAACGGAAGGAAGTTCAACGAGCATATCACGATTGGGCTGCCAAAGCGGCAGATGCAGCGGCAGATGAGGCTCCTCCACCATATAGGCTGGAAGATGAGGTACACAGACAAAGTCCTCAAACAAGTGGTGCACTCAACGTCAGACCAGTCCCACCTGAAGCCACCAAGCCCACCCTTGGCCGTCAATCCAGTGTCTCAGCCTCTTTTGTGTCCCCGCCGCCTGTTCCAGCCAGGAGTCCATCTCTAACCACGAGCTCGTCGTCAGCGAGCAGCCGACCTCCTGCCATCAACATGAGTTCTTACCCGGCTCCAATATCAACAAGACCGATGTATCCCCCCGATAAGGTGAATGTGGACATGCGTCCCCATCAGCTCTATCAGCGTTCAAGCCCCTCGCATTCCATTGTTAGACCTTCCTCTCGAATTTCTTTCCCCCTTCCTTCACCTGCATCTCCTAATGTGGCACATTTGGCTGATTATCTCGCCCGACAGAATTTATCACATCATCCGTCAGAAGTCATCCCAGGACCACAGCAATCCTATGCGTCAGGAATTTCATCCTCGGTCATGCAAATGCCTTCCGCGGAGGCAAGCCTAAGGTGTTCTAGCACGTCACCCGCAATCCCACCAGTTTCTCCGCGCCCGCCGGCTCCACCAGCACCGGTTGCATCATGGTCCCAATATCCTGGTCAACAGCATCTCCACTATGCCCCTTACAATCATCCACCTGTCCCACCCCTCGATTCCCACCCTTTACCCTCACCCCAGGGTAAGCCTTCCGTTATAGGCGGACCAAGATATGATCGACATGATACCAGTACACATTCACACGTCGCCTCTTACCCCCGCGTAGAACAATTCTATCCGAACACACCTCCAAATTCTGGTGTACCTCATGAAACTTACATGACAACGAGCATGCCACCCGATCCCTACCCATCCTACCCCGCACCAAATTCACTTACCCAAGACCAGTTCCAACAACACTTTTCGCCCGCACAACCTCCTGGTGGTTCGCATTCTCCTCGACCGTTCCCTCCACCTGAATGGGGAAACCCAAACTCGCCTCCGCCCCTAGTACACCATAATAGTGCGTACCTTCTATTCACGACTGCCCTCGCGTTACTAATCTTGGTCGTGCTTACAAGGGCCTCCCACGCACCCGCAAACTCAGAGCTATTACGCCCCGAACCAGCCGGCACCGAATTGGACAGGCAACGGTGGAGGAGGTGGGTTCAATCTCGCGGGGCGCGCACTAAACACGCTAGAGGGCATCGCGGGAAGGGATGCGAGGAGACAGGTGGAGAATCTTGCGCAGAGTGGGTCTGCTCCTGAAAAAAGTTCTGTCATCCGTTGCTGATGTAGTTTTTCTGCAGGCGGGTCGAAGCTGCTGAACAAGTTCAAATGATGTTATCCTCCTAGGAACTCACGGGAACTCCTTGTTGTATGATTACGGATGTTTCTAGTTGAACTTTGATTGAATCACTATTGTATTCTTGAACAGATGCTATAGGTTGTGGGTGTACTCTGTCAAGCGCAGTAAAGTGACTTCTGTCAACGTTCCTCTGCTAGCCAAATCAGCCACGGGAACAAAAGCTTTGGTGGAGACTACACAGTCACTGAGAATGGTATGCATAAACCTTTAAAATAACCCAACTTAGCTAGTGGGTAGCTAATGTTGCAATTACAAGATCAACTGAAGTCTTCGCGCCTGACAAGGAATCACTTGAAATGGATCATATCACATGGCGTTCGTATCACAGAGTTCACAGGATCTCGCCGTATCGTGATGGATGGCAAGTGATCAGTTGACAGCTGTGGCATAGCCAAAAATGATGTGCGCAGCAATCAATCCCGCAGTCTCCTGCACACGAGGGATACGGTAATGAACATGCCAATACATGCCAACTGACAGGAAAAATTTCAACAGATTTAAAAAGTTACATTAAGACACTATATGTTGCTTAACCGAAAGTGTTCCTCAACAACGCTTCATCCATACGGGGCTTGAACATCAGGCTGAAAGGCATCTGGTGTGATACCACACCAGGGGTAAATGCAGTGTCGTCAATAGGATCACTAGGGTCTTCTGCCACCGTGAAAGACCAGAACATAAGAGCGACGGCGATATACACTGATCTGAAACGCGGTGGATGCAATGAGACAAAGCAATCATGAAGCCACGCTGTCGGCTCACCGTCTAGCAATATGGACCCCTGGGCATGCACTAAAACGTGTTCAGCAGAAACTCAGTGAAACAAAGAACTGATATCTACCGTCTTCCATAACCAAAAGTGAATATCTTCATGTCCTCTCTGATTTCTCCGTCTGAACCAATCCATCGTTGTGGGTTGAATACTTCGGGATCGTGGAAGACAGAGGGGTCGCGCCCGATGCTCCTGAAGAACAAAGTAAACGAATGCAGAAATAAATCTTGGTGTGCGCGAACCAATTACTTCCTAAGACAATGGCCCCGGCAGGGATGCACATGCCATTCTGTGACAATAATGAACTCAAATTTGATTTGTGATCTTGTACTACATACCCAAATTACATCCTTCATTGCGCGGTGCGGGAATCCTGGAACTCAAATCAATAAAACGACCATAAATGTGTCCTCGTTGTCTTACCTGATGGGTTGATTGGCCTCCATCGAAGAGCTTCCAGAATGAAGGCTTGGACCTGAATAAGCCGCGACCAGTCCTCGAAAGTGGGAGCTGCGGCACACGGTCAGTCGGTTTTGAACTACAATGAATGTCATCTGCATACGGGTCTCTCCGCCAACCACAACTTCCAGCTCCTCATGTACGCGATCTTGTGCGTGTGGGAAACCTGCAGCAGCCATTAACACTGTGGAAATAGCGACAGCCGTCTAAGATTCCGCACTGGCAAGTTAGGCCGAGCTGACGCGGGTCAGTCTCTCTCGCTTACTGTATCGGAGCCTGCTCCGACGAGGGACCCGCTAAGATATGCTATCTCTGGCTCATACAGTTTGTTTTCGTCGGAGTGATCGAGGAAATCCTTTGTAACTGATTGAGGGGCAATATTGCTTTCCTGTTGTAGGTCATGTCGAAATTGATGTAATAACAGAAGAAGGCTTCGTACCACTTGACTTTTAACCCACTTGAACTGGCCGAACAGCATATCGTATTCTTCCTGTCCCCACTGCTTCAACTCTCTCCCGTAACCGGGAATATATTTGAGGATGGGGTACTCGTCACAGAGGTACGCGCCTGGTGCCATCGCGCCCTGAATTCTTGGGACCATCCTTTGCAGCCGCAACAGATACGGGTCGTCAAGTGATGTATAAGTTGTTTTCCCCTAGACGACATGCATAATTACAGATGCTACATAACTATGCGTAGATGTCACCAAGCGAAAAAGTGAGAACGGGGGACGGACTGACCGCTTGATATGCTGACGGTGCAATGTAGGCTCGTTCAGCATGTCCATAATAATCTCACGTGCATGCGCGAATTGTATTGGCTCATAAGTCTGAGCAGTTTTCACTTGAAGGTGCACATGCGAAATTCTGATGCGATCATGGTGAGATGGTGGGGTTTACATTTGATTGATGTGACACTTACTTGCGATATCTGCGAAACTGTTCTCCATAGCGAAGTTGGACGAATCGCATTCCTCTTCCGAGGATGTCACCGCCAGCGACCGAACGAGGCCGGTCTGCGAGGAATGCACCTTGCTTCTCCATGAGGTCGATCGCTTCCTATTAGATGTGAATACTCCAATGGTAATATGGTTCAAGATATGGTCATACCTGATGATGTCCGATGATGACTAGTACATTTTTTCCATCATTGAGAGATACGACTGGTCCGTATTGTTCTATCCACTGAGCAATCTTCCTGGGTGGACTGTTATTGTGCATTAGTATATGACGAATATCGCATGGCCACGACATACTACTGCCCAAGAGGAGGCTCTGATGGACCAGGAGGTAGGGGCAATTGATGAAATTTGGATTTGCGAGAACGATAGGAGTAGACGATAACGCCTAACAGACCAAAGGCGACTGCCCCAGTCTGCCAGGGCCATGCGGGGAACATATCAAGCACAGAAGAAATGGAGAAAAGATGCCATCCTTTTTTAAGGTACTCCTTGCTTTTGTAGACAAAAAATGCTTGGACACCGTCTAGGCAAGTCCCGTGTCAATTTGGGGACCAGGCACTGGTGTATTAAGTACGACCGAAACGAAGAATTTCGGCCATGTGACAAATTGGGACTTCGTGGAATGATTCGAGCTAAGCAAAAGCCTAAGCTGTCGCTGTCGTAGACATTTTGTATGCAATCAATGTCAAACACGATATAAACGACTCATCTGCATGAATATAACCCGTGTGCAAGATGGTTCAATTCTAAAAGTTTGAGTGCAAACCTCACTGAATCTTGTCATCGGGTTTGGGAATGACGAGGTTCAAGAGTTTAGCTGTGCACCAAGTGTTGGCGCTATGCTGTCAGGTTCAAGTACGGCGCTACTCAGATACCTTCCAGATGTACACATAGTATCCGCCTGTGGTGTGTACTCCCATCTTTGAAACGTCAGAAGAATGTAGTATGCAGCTTCATGAGGTAAGCTGCTGTGGGTGATGGTACGAGGACTCACGCTTGAGCTCCGGGAGGCCCGGGCTTACATGCTTAGTGAGAGTTAAGCTGATCGGAGAAACCTGTCTTTCAAATTGTGGTCGCTCTTTGCATCCCTGCAAGTATCCACGCAGTAGCGGCTAGTCTCGCAAGGTTTTTCTCTAGCAACCAACCCACCACTGCCTCAAGAGGCAGTAAACTGTAAACCATCATGTACTATGTCGTCAGTTGTTCGATGAAAAAGGATTAGGACATTACCGGTCAATAGAACCCTTCGGAATTGGGGTCATATCGACGACTCATGTGGCAGGGCCGACGAGTGAAGATTGTAGTACTTGCAGTATCTTTTCATTTGCTAGCCACATTGGTCTTGCTATTCTGTCAAATGAGATGTCTCATCGCGCTCAGGAGGACTGATCCGCTCCTCAAGGACATGCGCCTTCTAGTATCATCCGAGTCACCATCAAAAAGTGCACGTTCCTTTCTTGTATTTATTTCTGTACTCAACTTCAAAGACGGTCAGCGCGATAGATTGAAAAATTCCCATAAGGCCATCACCGGAAGATATTAATCTTGTAAAACCATGAGTCCTAGTGAGATTAATTCTGGGAGCGTCTGGTCGTAGACATCGTATTACTAATGCTGACTCATCATGCACAACAGCACTTTTCGTTTTCGTTTTATTTTTAGTATAACGGTTCTACTTACTATTCACTGAAAATCCTGCAATTCTATTCGAAATTTCACTCGCAGCAGGCGCCATGAAAATGTTGCTCCACCGACTGCCACCACGGTAATTACATAATAGAACCATCACGCATATCATATAGCGCAGCGGCATGATCAGCACCGAAAGCTTATTGAATTGTAGTCAGGTCTGGTCAGGTTGGGCGAAAGAACCTTGTTTGCTTCGTGCATATGGTGGTGTTATTGATTCATCTCACTGATGATGATCCATATAGATCATAGCCATTTGTGTTACTGGCAAATGCATATGTCGTGAAAGGCCACCACCATACGCACGTGAGTCTGCCAACATTATGATGGGAGAATGAATTAATAACAGCCGCTATGAGGCTGACATTTTCCGGCAAGTAAGTTAGTATTATCGCAGCACTGATCTCAGCAACGTTACCGCAGCACGCTCCATACAAGAAAATGGGGTTGCTGCGGTGTCCTCAGGTCATGATATCATTTGACATCAGAACCCCAGGCTAAGTTGCCACTAGCTTAGTTTTGTGATACGGCCCCCATCTGATTATCTGATAAGCTTGCTCATAGGCCAATTCCTTTCTGCCCCCTAGGCGGTACCCGTCACGGTATAGCCAACCCGGGCACACGTCATCCCCGAACAATTCGGCGGACTCGAGTTCCCGTTTCGGATTTTCAAATCTTTCTGGTAGGTCTCGAGCGGCATGAGAGCGGTTGTCGGAAGTGCGAGCTAACTCAAATCGGTAGTTTGTTGAGTCTCCTGCACTCGACGGAATATTCAAGGGGTTTAACCACGTCATCATGTTCACGATATTTGTATACACATACCGGAAGGCGTTTGTAGAATGAGGACAAGGACAAACTATGTAAAACGGACCCAGAAATTTATCGCTGCGTTCCTATACGCCGGTCGAAAAGAAGTTTCTTAATGATGCTTCGTCCATACGAGGCTTGAAGATCAGGCTGAAAGGCTTCTGGTGTGATACTATGCCAGGGGTAAAGGCAGTGTCGTCGATGGGATCACTAGGGTCTTCTGCTAGTGTGAAGGACCAGAGGATAAGAGCAACAGCGATGTACACTGATCTAAAAGTGGTGGATCCATTGAGACGAGCACTCATCAAGCCTCATTATCGACTCACCGGTTAGCAACATGCAACCCCGGACAAACTCTAAGATATGTTCAGCGAAAACTCAGTGAAATAAAGAACTGATATATACCGTCTTCCAAAACCAAAAGTAAACAGCTTCAAGTTCTCTTTCATTTCTCCGTCTGCACCGATCCATCGCTGTGGATCAAATACTTCGGGGTTGTGGTAGATAGAAGGGTCACGCCCAATGCTCCTGAACCCTGAGTAAGAAATTGTAAAATAGATCTGGCGTGCACCAACCAATGATTTCCGAAGACGGTGGCACCAGCAGGAATGCACACGCCGTCCTATGACAACGATGAACTTGAATTTGATTTGCGATTTGTGAGACATACCAAAATGATATCTTTCGTTGCGCGGTGGGGTAAACCTGGAACGCAGATCAACAACGACCTTGAATGTGCATGATTGGCTCACCTAATGGGTTGACAGGCCTCCAGCGAAGCGCTTCTAAAATAAGGGCTTGAAGCTGCACAAGCTGCGACCAGTTCTCGAAAGTGGGAGCTGCGGCACAGGATCAGTCAGTTCTGCAAAACTAAGGTGGCTTAACTTGCATACCAGTCTCTCGGTCAATAATGGCTTCTAGCTCCTCGTGTACGCGAACTTGTGCGTGCGGGAAGTGCGCAGCAGCCATTAAAATTGTTGAGATAGCGACAGAAGTCTAAGATTCCGCAGGTAAGTATTGCCTGATCTTAGCCTATATCAATTTCTCGGCTTACCGTATCCGAGCCTGCTCCAACGAGGGCTCCAGAGAGATATGCTATCTCTGTCTCAGACAGCTGATTCTGCTCCATGTGTAGAAGGAAATCCTTTGCAACTGAGTGAGGGGCGACGTGGTTGTCCTGTTGTTCACGATGAGGTCAATATAACGAGCACACTATAGAAGACGAGTTCGTACCATTTGACTTTTGACCTGATTTAACTGGTTTAATAACATATCGTATTCTTCCCGACCCCACTCTTTTAAAGTTCGCCCATAACCAGGGATATATTTGAGGATGATGTATTTGTCAACAAGGTATGCACCTGGAACCATCGCACCCTGAACCCTTGTGATCATCTTTTGCAGCTGTAGTAGATACGGGTCGTTCAACGACGTAGGGGTGGTTCTCCCATACACGACACGCAGAATTACAGATGTTGCAAAACTGTGCGCGGATGTCACCAGCCGAAGTGAGAATACTGTTGGGACGGACGTACCGCTTTATATGCTGCTGGTGCATTTTCGGTTCGTGCAGAATGTCCAAAATAATGGCACGGGCGTGCGCGACTTGCATCGGCTCATAAGATTGTGCAGATTTTACTTGTAGATGCGCATGCGAAGATCTGAGAGTGACCAGCTGGTGAGACAGTCTGTTTTTAACTGAGTTAATGTGTTGCTTACTTGCGAAATTTGCGGAGCCTCTCGCCAGAGCGAATTTGAGAGAATCGCATTCCTCTCCCAAGGATTTCGCTGCCTGCAACAGAAACAGGCCGGTCTGCGAGGAATGCGCCCTGCTTCTCCATGATGTCAATCGCTTCCTGTCAGATGTCAATACCTAGATGGTAATATCCTACAAGATACAGTTATACCTGGTGACGTCCAACGATGACTAGCACATTTTTTCCATCGTTGAGAGATATGACTGGTCCATATTCTTCTATCCACCGAGCAATTTTCCTGGGAGAACTTTTGTCATGCTCAATATAGATCATATATTGGATGATTATGACATACTAATGCTCAGTAGGAGACTCTGACGGACCAGGAGGTAAGGGTAACTTACGGGAGCTAAATGTGCGAGAGCGGTAGAAGCAAACAGTAACGCCTAGTAGACTGAGGATGATTACTGCAGTCTGCCAGTGCCAGGCAGAGAATATATCAAGCATGGAGGACTTGGACATGGCACAATCCTAAGGCCTAAAGTGTTATCTCCTTAAAAACCTCCACCTGTATTTCATAGGGTAGAGTCACGCCCAAGCGACCGGCAGAAAAATACAGTAACCATGAACTGGCATATTTCATATGCACCATGAACTTGAAGAGCTTATTGCTGATTCGGTTAGAATGGCCGAGACGAAGTTCGTGCCTCTTCATGGCCGTCCAGCGAGCAGTGAGACTTCGTGAAACTAGGGCACGGCTGGAAAGTCGATATTTTCAACACCTGTTAAAAATGATACTGTTGAAACATCGAGACTCGAGGACATCTGGAATGTCGAATTTCCCGGGTCCCGTTGTCCGGGTTCGGCAAACTCCAGCGGACTCTGAATCTGTCACGGTTAGAACCACTGGTTGACACACTTTCATTCCTTGACACACTTAGCCATAACTCATTAATGTTTGATACACCTTGAGATTCTGTAATTAGGTCTATAGATACATCTAGTAGGCATGGAAAATTTTGACCAATCTCACTGAGCCATGTTTCATGAATGGATTCTGAGTCCTGAAAATGTGACTCAAAATGAAGCATCAACTTTGTAATGTGTGTACTGCCAATCAAACTACTGATTTGGTGACAAAGTGCCACAATAATAACAAACAGATACAAAATCATAGTGGCAGCAAGCCACCAATCCCTGACTCCACCTGTCTACTCTCACCCACACCATATTGATATGTTGGTTTTGAACAAAGTTTGTTTGGTTTTCTTCACAACCTTGCCAGAGACAATTAGGTGGCATATAGCAGTGTCTTATGTGCTGTAAGTTTGGGCTTTGAACAATTTCCACTCAGATCTGGGATCATTGGGGGCAACTGGTCATCAGGAATCTACCTTTTTTGATCACTAAGACAATATATGATTCACAAATATTTGTAAGACAATGATGTTGGTCATTTATACAGCTTGAGCCAAGATGAAGAAGTCACCAAGAAAAATGATTACTTCAACCTACTTGACCATAGTATACTCAAGCTCTTCCTCATAATCAAGCACAGCAGAAGAAGAACCTTTTTTAGTGGGTGACTGGGCAACTGCGCAATCAATCTTGTTCATTTGGAACAATTGTTTTGGCTTGACTGCTGCCCATTTTGCACCTCATTTATTCTCGAGTTCCAATAGATTTTTTTTTTGTTTTTTTCTTGGTTCCAATTTCTGTCCATTGGGGTAATGTACCCTATGTCAGACAGTACTAGCTAGTCTACAAGGCCCCTGCCTTTCTACATCTCTGGACTAGCGAATGCCCTGGTGTGAGGTTGCCCCCCACCAGTCTGCCATTCCCACCGGCCGTTTTAGACGTGCAGTCCATGTTGAAGATGAGGAGACTTTTCTCATCTTATTGTGGTAGGTAACTGATCATGAGGTATGTTACTGAACCACTGTAGAGCCTCACGTCTCCACAGGCACCTCCCTCCAAATTCTCCCACTTTCCCTACAAACTCCAGCTCTAATCCACAGGATTTGTCTAGTGCATCAGCGCACTTATATTTTATTTTGTAGGTTTCACGTGCGGCCTCGCAGGTTCACGCACTTTGCACATCCACACTCGCATTGTCCGCGCACTCGTCCGTCCATCCATCCCATGTCCTTAGATGTTCATTGGTGCGTTTTCCCATCATATTCCCTTTTCGATTAATTGGTTTCCATGACCCTGTTACATACATCACATACTATTTTTAGTCTGTTTGGCTTGTTACATCGGACCTGCACGCCTAGTGCCGCTTAGCTACTTTACTTATACCCTCCTATTATTTATGTTCTGGGTCAATTTTCCGCCCACTTTCTCTGTGTCTCTAGATACTAAGAATTTTACTTGTTGTTTGCAAGTGACTATCTAAAGTCGCGCGCTTCGGTCCTCTGTCTCCGTCTTAGCATCAGCCAACCTTAGTTGGTGTGTTAACACTCATCTCGCTTCGTCCTTCTTTCATTACTCTCGCTCGCTAGTCTCTCGCCTTCGCTCACGTGCGCTACCTTTGCATCGCGTACCTCATCCTTTGCCTTTCGCACTCACGTGTCATTGCGCACATTCGCCTTTCGCACATTGCATCGTTTCCGTCTCGTGCTTTGCGCATTACTTAGCCTTAGTATTTTATTAGTTGTTTGGTGTCCCTCTTTTTACAAAGAGAGGTTTCCCTTTACTCAGTTAGCTGCCCTTGGGATGATGATTTCACTCGCGCCCGGGTCTATCTGTGTTTGCTTAACTTAGCACCAACTTTCCCCACAGTTTAGATTCCTCATCTTCACCGTCATTCTCGACGTGCAGTATGCACTTAGACTTGACAGCTTTATTGACCGCACCAAGGACACGGTTCTCCTGGAGCTTGTCAATGCCTTTCAGGCGATTGACACTATCGCTTTCACAGCCGGACCACCTGCTGACTGTCCCCCTCACCCAATTACCCATTACTCCATCATGAAGGCCAAGAGGTCCCTCTTGAACCTTCTTGCCACAAGGAATTTCAGCGACACAGTTGCCAAGATAGAAGAAGAAATTGCATACAACCAATCACCTGTACAGGCAACTGTTGTTGAGCATACTGCCAAGTGCAGTGCTCCAACATTCCGTTCTGAACAACCCAACCTCATCATCACCAACCTCACCTCAGAAGAAATTGATTGCATGTTCGCTGAACACGAAGAAGATCAGCACCAAATGATGACTAGTGACGAGCTTGAAGAACTCTGAGCTTCCATCATCAATGACAAGGTAGCCAATGACCCGTTGCCTGCCCCTTACAAAGGAAAGAAGAAGCATGAAGAAGAAAAGTTGAGTGAGGAAACTCACACACACCCCTGGAGAAAGATGAACAAAGAAAACAAACCGAGCTTGGAAGCTTGTATTACCACCCCTCCCCTGGGTTTTGTCACTACCAACGACATACTCTCACTTTCCATTGGATCCCCCTGCTATGAGGGATGATACACCCATCCCTATTCTACCACCAAAATGTTCCCCTCAACAAAGCCATAGACTAAACACCAAGCACATCCTTGCCCTTGGTTTACCCATCACCAGACATGTCCCCAGCCAGGACCCTACCAGACAAGAACTACTAAATGACGTGCATGGTGAAAGTATTTCCCAGCCCTACCAGTGCAATTTCGTCTGCAGGATCTGCCATCAATATGGCCACAAACAGAAACAATGTGAGCACTACTTCTGCCACATCTGTGGTCAATTTGCCCCAGGACACCTCACCCCCTTCTGCCCTCGCCTCAATGGCAAGAAGATCCTTTGTCGAGGAGTCTCCTCAGAAACATTTTACAGAGATATGCACCAGCTGGAAGCAGCCTACGACCATGATGCTACCCGCATCGAACAGGATAGAGAAGAGAACACCATGGAAGCCATCAAGGCACTCCATGACCTTGACTGCAATCCCTCCTGGTATGACAATATGGATAACTGAACTCGTTGATTTCAGTCCTAGAAACCGGGGTAATGTTACAAGAACATCTAGACACTTGGGCCCCTACCATTTTTCTCCTTATCCTCCTCATCTCAGCCCTTGCATCACACCCTTACCCTGACCTTGCTCTTGTTATCCTTGTCATCCTTGCATTCCCCATCGCTCTCTACCTGTCGCTTCAGCAAAGCCAGTACATCTGGCCAGACCCTTTCTCTGATGAAGCATACCCATGCTCTGTTTCACCTGATGACTGATCCTGTGGACAGTCCCCTTTACCCTTACTGTCTGGACGGTAACCTCTGATACAATGCACGCTGCATCCCCTTTGCCCCATTTCCTTTTTTGATCTGTGACTCGGTGCGCAGTCGCACATTGTACTTATACTTAGATCCACAGTTGCACGGTCATGCCCCTGCTTGTTTCACTTCCTGTTTCTGTTCTTTGACTCATTTCTTATCTGCATGTTCCGGTTCACCTATGACTCACCTCAAATGTGCCTTCCTTTTCTAGTATCACCCTTTGACCAGCTCCTCTTCCGGTAGTACAAGTTATCATCCACTAATACGCTTCCTCTCCTCTATATAAACTGTTACAATAACATTTAGACCCTACTTATTTTTCTCTTTCTGTAACTATAGCGCCAACTCTAGACTCATCTAGACTTGGCTATTCTCTTATCAAGCGGGCTGTCCACACCTCTCCTTCTCTTGATTGTATCCTAACTACTATCATCATGTGCAGCATGATTGTTTCACCTATCTATCTTGATAGGTTGTACTATTTCCCTATCTTTGTTACCTTTCTTGACATGGCTGCGCTGTCTCTTGTTACCTATATAAACCCCATGTACATCAGTAGTATTCCTTAACTTAATCTACTGGGTTTTCCCTTAAATCCTGTTTTATAAGGTCTCCACCCTTATAGTCTGATATCCAATTCTAAGACAGTCACTCACTGTCTTAGCCTGAACCTAGATAGAAGCCATCGCACTCGTCTAGTGGAACCCTTGAACCCTCCTTGTACTAGGAGTTCAGAACACGCTGTCAACTAGATTGGTCTATCTTTGACCTTTGACAGAAGAACTATCCCAGTCGTAACATAAACTCGCTACCATGTATCTAGTTCCTTAACTTGAATCTACTTGGTTCTTGACCTCCTACTCCTAACAAGAGTGATTCCTTCAGCCTAGCCAGCTGTCTATATTCTACTTTCTTATCTGCTCATCGTGGATAAGTCTCTAGTCTCAATCTTTACTCATCGACTTTGTCGTTGAGCAAAGCCCCTGTTATTAGTCGGACTTCTGTCCTTCTATCAACGCAGATCTTACAATTAACCTTCGGGTATCGTAAGCCTTGGCAGATACGCTTATCATCGAGCCTCGCTTGACATAAGCTACCCGATTTGGACATAGGCGTTAAACCTTGCTTGCTAAAGCTTCACCAAGCAAGACTCCTAACCTTGAGCTAGCCCAGGGACATCCTCAACCATTGACAACACACGCTCTGTTTGAGCGTCACCAACAGACACTATCCAAGTCCATAACATTTAGTATTTTTTACAGATTATCCTACAGACTCATTTTCAAATTTGTTTTCAAGCTCCGGTTTATGATAATCTGGATTATTTAGCCCATGGGAAGTCACCCAATAAGTTAAAAATAAGTTTTAATTTTTGAAAAAATGTCCAAGAAATGTGTGAATTTACTGATGATGTAAGGGCAAAAAGATAGGGTTCTCAGGATCGGACAAATCTACCACAAAAACGTGAAAATCAAAGTCGATAAGACCCTTACGGTAGCGGGAATATACCTTTGGACTTCACAAAAATTGTTGCGCTTAAGAGAATCTAGAGAGTGTCACATAGCAATTTAGATATATAAAATACAAGCAGTGATGGCGCAACGGTTACACTCGAAGGAATGCTCAGCAGGTTGAACCACCATCATATTTACGATATTATTACACACACACGAGTTACAGTAAAGAGGTCGACCTATGCAATACAGACCTAGAAACGTAGCGCTGTGCCTCCGATACCCGCGCACTGAAACCCTCTATACGGCGGTCGAACAAAAGATGTTTCTCAATGATGCTTCGTCCATGCGAGGCTTGAAGGTCATGCTGAAAGGCTTCTGGTGTGATACTATGCCAGGGGTAAAGGCAGTGTCGTCGATAGGATCACTAGAGTCTTCTGCTAGTGTAAAGGACCAGAGGATAAGAGCAACAGCAATAAACATTGATCTGAAAGTTGTGAATGCATTGAGACAAGCACTTATCAAGCCTCATTGTCGACTCACCTGTTAGCAACGTGCAAGCCCGGACATGCACTAGAAGTTGTTCAGCAGGAACCCAGTGAAAGAAAGGATGGATATCTACCGTCTTCCAAAACCAAAAGTGAACAGCTTCAAGTTCTCTTTAATTTCTCCGTCTGCACCGATCCATCGTTGTGGATTGAATACTTCAGGATCGTGATAGACAGAGGGGTCACGCGCGATGCTCCTGAACCGCGAGGTAAGAAAGTGTAGAATGAATCTAGCATGCACCAACCAATGATTTCCGAAGACAGTGGCGCCAGCAGGGATACACATGCCGTTCTGTGATGATGATGAATTCATATTTGATCTGCGATTGTGTAGGACATACCCAAATGATATCTTTCGTTGCGCGATGGGGTAAACCTGGAACGTGAATCAACCAAATGATCTTGAATGTGCATGATCGGCTCACCTATTGGATTGACAGGCCTCCATCGAAGAGCTTCCAGGATGAAGGCTTGAACCTGAACAAGCCGCGACCAGTCCTCAAACACGGGAACTGTGGTGCAAGGTCAGTTGGTTTTGAACTAAGGTGGCTTAACTTGCATACTAGTCTCTCGGTCGATGATGGAGTCTAGTTCCTCGTGTACGCGAGCTTGTGCGTGTGGGAAACGCGCGGCAGCCATTAAAACTGTTGTAATCGCAACAGCAGTCTAAGATTCTGCAAGTTAGTTTTGCTTAACATGAGTCTGTATCGGTTTCTTGTCTTACCGTATCCGAGCCTGCTCCGATGAGGGACCCAGAGAGATATGCTATCTCTGTCTCAGACAACTGGTTCTCCTCCGCGTGCAGAAGGAGATCTTTTGCAACTGAATGAGGGGCGATGTAGTGGTCCTATTGTTCATGATGAGATCGATGCAACGTATAGAAGACAAGTCCGTACCATTTGACTTTTAACCTGATTTAGCTGGCCGAATAACATGTCGTATTCTTGCTGACTCCACTCTTTCAAGTTTCGTCCATAACCAGGGACATATTTGAGGATGGGGTACTCGTCAACGAGGTATGCACCTGGAACCATCGCGCCCTGAATCCTTGGGATCATCTTTTGCAGCTGTGCTAAATATGGGTCGCTCAACGAAGTAGGGGTTGTCTTCCCATATACGACACGTAAAATTACAGATGCTGCAAAACTATGCACGGATGTCAGCAGCCGAAGTGAGGATACTATTGGGACGGACATACCGTTTGATGTGCTGCTGGTGTAATTTCGGTTCGTGTAGTATGTCCAAAATAATGTCACGGGCATGTTCGACCTGTACCGGCTCATAAGACTGAGCAGACTTCACTTGGAGATGCGCATGCGAAGTTCTGATGTGATCGGGTCGGTTAGACAATCTATCTTTATATCAGTTAATGTATTGCCTACTTGCGAAATTTGCGGAGCCTCTCGCCAGAGCGAATTTGGGCGAATCGCATTCCTCTTCCAAGGATGTCACCGCCAGCGATGGAACGAGGCCTGTCTACGAGGTGTGCACCCTGCTTCTCCATGATGTCAATCGCTTCCTGTCAGATGTAAATACCTCCATGGTATCATGCTACAAAGTAGGGTCGTACCTGGTAACGTCCGACGATGACTAGTACATTTTTTCCATCGTTGAGAGAAATGACTGGTCCGTATTGTTCTATCCACTGAGCAATCTTCCTGGGAGGACTGTTGTCGTGGTCAATATATATCGTTTATTGCATTACTACGACATACTAATGCCCAGTGGGAGACTCTGATGGACCAGGAGGTAGGGGCAGTTGACGAAGATTGGTTTTGCGAGAACGGTAGGAGTAGACAATAACGACTAGTAGACCGAAGACGGATACCCCAATCTGCCACTGCGACGCAGAGAACATGGAGGACAAAGAGGTCATGGGTAGAAAAAAATCCTAAAGTGACATCTTCCTAGGACGTTGGCTTTTGTAGGTAGGTTGTAACCTGGAAGGACGGGCATCACGGTCATTATTACTACTAGCAGGGAATTTGAAATGAGGAAGTTTCTTCACCTAATTGGTAAATTTCATCCGCCGAGGCCCGAGACCGCTGCCGGAAAGAGCCATTGAATTTGCTGTGACTTGAACTCACCAATGCAATCAAACGCTCCATGGTGAACATGAAACGCGTTACTAAGGCCAAACTTGAAATGACGTAACCAGGCCAGCATATTAGCTAAACCAATTTGGTCCAGTTTGTGTGTTGTTCCTGGAAGAAAGTGAAACGACTGACGTGCCGAAAAGAAAAACTCTTGGTACTAGATCGACAAAGAGTTGAAAACGCTGCTGTCGGTCTTGGTATCAGCTCTTCCTGTGTGCTCCTCTATTTCATCCTTGAAACGAACAGAACGCGATGTTGTCGGAGATGTGACCATGCGACTTCCTAGTGCGATGAGCGTCTTGATAGCTGATAGAGCGAAATCGAATCGAGACTCCATGTGCTCTGGTATTTCATACTTCTCTTGAGCACTAACCTGATTAGAGAGAAGTGTATCATCTCCTGCAGTCACAAGCCGGCAAGTGCTTTCTTGAGCAACCGGTGCCTGTCGTCGAACTATGAAAAAAGGACTGGAGCATCACCGGTCAGTATGATCTTTCCGGACTGGAGTCATCATGATCAGTACAAATCCTCAATACTTGCGTATCTCGGACGCACCGATACTATCCCCGTAGTTGCATCGTCATTCTATCATATCATGCATCAAGTACCGCCACGCTGGGGACTCCCATGGATTATTCGAAACTTGGATGCTTCGTGCTGTGCTGTCTCATGTGCATGAACGGTCAGCAACACGCGGTTAACTTTATTGATAGAACTTGATGGTCACCGCAAGACCAATCCATCTTCTTTAGGATTAAGTATTACTACTAAGTGCTGACCATCGCAGGCCAACCATCAGTGGAGGAGCGGCAACACCCAGCACCACAAGCGATATATGTTACATCATGTGCATTGCATATTGGTGTAAATTTACGCAGGCCGGTCAGTACTATTGTCACGGCGGCGAACAGGCGAAGATTTCGAATGATGCGATCTATATGCATATACAGTGCGTAGCGCCGAGGTGATCACCTCCTTGATCCTAGTAACGTCACGATGAATTGTGCGATCAGCAGGCCATGATACGTTTTCTCGCCCATCATGTCCTTTTACTTTTGCCCACACAGCACTACCAGCCATTCCGCCGTGATATCTTGTGCTTGCGATATCTATAAATATCTGCGCACTTAAACTCCACAAGACTCAAACTTCAGCTTGTCTACAACGGGACAATCAGGTCGAGAGTCTATCAAGCTTGAAGCAGATAGCCTGGTTCAGCGCGGTGCTGCTAATCCCCACTCAGTCTAAAACTAACGCGCATCGCACTAAACATAACTCTAGACCCTCATGGTACCCCTTTTTCTTAGGCAGCGACTCGGAGGACTCTGCGGTCGGCTGTCTGATAAAGTTTCGCGCTAAACATTGACCCAGGCTAGAGTCGTATTCTGGAATCTCCAGGACGTCACAAACACTCTGAAATCCATGTTATTGTTCTGATCCACTTGTACGAGGCCAAGCACTTGAATCATGAAGAATGAGATTAGTATGCGCGAGAATTCTGGAGATAGATAGATCGGTGCATCATTTTTCTACTTATCAATGATGTATTGCTCTAGAACAATTCCGACTGATAGTGTGGGCCAGACTCTAGTAAGGCGAGTGAACCTAAAGTCATGTAGAAATATATATACACACCCAAACAAGCCCAAACCGCGGCTACGACCAAGGAAGACGCACAAGACTTTACATACGCACTGTGAAATCAAGATCGTTAGATAAAAGCCGGTAATACTTGTAGAAGGGTCATTGTAGCCGGTCACCTTCAAGGGTCCGAGGAACATGTTGATCGTATTGAAAGTGACTTGTCGGTTATTGATTGCTAACGCAGTATCTTGTTTCTTGAACCACTTCTTGGGTACGTCTGATGCCTCTAATATTGTTATATATGGAATAGAGATATGAGCGTTGCCTGGACTACCAGGATCTGGTTCGGTAGCGAAACTGGGAGTGAGTGGTAAAGAATCCTGTGGCAGTCAGTATCATTATTTCATACAGTGCATGCAAAAGTTGCACATACCTGGCTTGTGTCAGTGTGGGTCAGAACTCGTACACTGAAACGTGCAGCTGCAGATTCCAAGGCTTGGTAGAGACGCCGTACTTGAGTTTGACGTGAGCACTGAGAGGGAAACGATAGGCTGTGAGGGAAAAGTTGTGAGTGACACTAGTCGAGACACGACGAGTGTGTTTAGTGTGAGTGATGTTTATGAGCACGAGGCGATGAGAGAGGAAGTTGGTGTTAGTGAAGACGAGACGAGTACTAGTAGAGGTTATTTTACGAGCTTCTGCGAGATTCAGTTGACTGATACCGATACTGATTGACGCCATTGAGGCTCGGCACTGAATTGACCGTTTTAATGCGCTCGTGGTTGGCCAACCAGTCAAGCATAAAACGATCAATTCAATGCTCAAGCTTCCCAGTCGAAAAATCGGTCGGACGCCTTCGTAAAATCGTACACAGATTCAAGTTGTTCAACAAGGATCAATGATTACCACGTAATCAATTATGTAATCAGGGTTTGACTTACAACTTTGTCGGTGTAGGCTATGTCATCATGCGACAGTCAACGTACACTTGCAACTGACATCGTCGCCACTTCCTGAGACGCCTGTTGGCATATCTATCATTGAAGTGTTGATGCGTGCATGCCCCAGGCCAACAGCCTTGCAATGACCGGCAAGGTATATCGTGGTACACTTCCGACTTCAGGTTCGAACGTTCAAGCCTGATAAGCCATATACAGCTACGCGGTTCTCCTTTGACTTACCATCAGCTGGAATCGTAAAGATAACGTCTTCCGGTGTTATATAATCCAAGTCAGCGGTAACTCACTAGTCAGAACACGGTAAAGTTTCTGGCTGATACCGTGACTAGTATGGACTTATCGTGCGTTCCTTGGGACCTTGGCATCTGGCAGCTGATAATGCAGTGGCACATTACTTGCTGTTGCTTTGAGCGGCCATGTCCTGCAAATTCAAAGTGCGACATTTTCTGCACGTTGCCTTTATCGTGGATTCGTCATCAACCAATTTCGAGTGCATATCTATCTGTGTATGTATGTCCCAACTCATCGCGCCAGCGGCAGTGTCCAGGAGAACTGTATTCATCATCTTGACTTGGTTCTTGATGATAACCTAACTTATCATGATGCCATTTTCAGGTGGAAGTCAACATTCTCATCGACCGGCTATCTTTTCGATATTTGTTCGAGTGTTCATCATCTTATTACAACATGCTGCAGGTCGACGCAGAGGGAGTGGCAAGTTACATGCTCATTGCAGTCACAAGAGGCGACTCCTAGCTGTCCATATTCTAAAGGAGTTCCATGAAAGACCATGCTTGGAGAGTGTTCCCATCCCCGGAACGCGTAGTAGGTTGAGTTCCGAGCTTTCGGCGCTACCACTCGCATATTTATCCGTTCACAATGATAACAGACCGCTCAAGGTGACATGTCGTGGAAATGATCTTAGATTTCTCGATCCTTCAAAGCTGCGTTGACTTGAAGGAAGACTATTCTTATTAGATGCGACGTCGCCGGATGGTTGCTCAGGTTTTATTTGTGATGCAGATTGTTGACATAGTCAGTCACCGCCGTCAAATGGCGTTAGCTTCGCGCTTCATGTTCTCGTTCTCTATTGGGATATTTTTAAACTTCGTCCTAAGCACAAGCTTCGCATGGGTCGCAGAACAGGTGCTCAGAGCTGCTGTTCAGTAAGGATCTACCAGATAACTGGGATCATTGATGGGGCATGGAGAGTGCAGGAATAGTTCCCTGCAATACTATCAGTTGCTAGTGCGTAGATGTCCGGGCGCGCTCCCGAAATAAGTACCGCATTAATTTTGCTCACTTTGTATGACTAGTTATGAAATGGGTGCGGGTGCCTCCGGCCAGGAATGATCTGAGAATATTACCCCATGTACACATGTCACTAATTCCCATTCACGGTCATTTACCACCAGGCATCTAGGATCGAGTCCTCGCCACCTAGTGGTGTTGTCTCATTCAACTCTACGGACGGGAGTCGAATGCGAATTACTTACGGTTCCGTTTCATAGCTGAATCAATGAACGTTCTCTCTACTTGTTTAATACATTTTGCGGACCCTTGCCTATTTATATTGTGTTGGTAGTAACCATAAGTGAAGTGTAAACTAAATTATCTTCAAGACGCGCGGCGGAGCTAATCCCCTTGTGATAATAATAGGGGTATCATACCGGGCAGACAGACCCGAAGAACAATGGTCGTGTCATTGTATCCAGGCCCAGCGCTCAGCCCACGCACGCAACTTGGGCGTTTTACGCCTGCCACAGCTTCGATCCGCCGCTGCTGGCTGCCGCGCTACTCGCAACTTTCCGGGTTCCAGTGCACCCACAGAAGTTCCAGAACGTTATGGAAGAATTTTCATACCAACGGAAACTGTTAAGATCTAGACGCTGTGCTCTGTGTGCTATCATAGGAGAGAAGGAAAGATGGTGTAGTACGGCCAACAGAATCGTTTGATGCCAGTGTTTTCCAGCTTAGATGAGGCTGAATCATTGGTATGGTACATTCTCTCAATGAGAACGTCACGAATCACACTCTGAATATATCAGACCACCGCGGAAACTGAGTAGAAAACATCGCCCTGCGGTTTCATATTTAAGGAACATACTACGTATTTAAATAAGTATCTAGAATATATAAGATAGAGCTAGGTACCTCTTCCGAATCGTTCGACAGCACAGCGTTCGCAGATAATGTACAGTAGATACAACAGTATCCTGAGATATATCACCAAGACCAGGACATGCATATATATGAGATACAAATATGTGGCTGGGAACCTTAAGGCCAGGATCCCGTCAGGGCGTTCATGGTTCGCAGACCTGGCGGAGAAATTAATGGTGGAGACGTACTTTTGGGAGACACGAGAAAGTCAAGGAGACATCAATTAGAACGTCCCATGAACCCGTCATATAACACGTATACTGGTGCGAGCACTGTAAAAAAGGGTGTCCACAGTACAACTTGTCGCAGTGCTATCCTCGCTCGGGGAACGTATCCATTCCTTGTGGCTCCTTCGGGTAAAAGCGTGATCAACATCACCCCTCCGGGGAGCATCAGAGTCACAGCTCTGGCGGATCCACGAAGCTTCCGAGTGAAGCACAGAGACAGGTCTTCTGTCCTTAAATTGGGGTTCGTCCATGAGCCCATACCACCCACAAGCATCCCAACCAGAACCTCGCTTCCCACAACCTCCATCAAGGTCCAGGCCACCATTGTGAGGACCGAGGCTCGCGGGAGAATCTGGCCGGGGGAAAGGCGTGAAGAGGGCGGGCAGAGATGATGTTGGAAGGTCATCCTCGGGCTCAGGGGTAGCACTAGGCGTAGGAAGCTGCGCAGTAACAGGATTTTGATTTTCTGCGTTGTCCTTGGCCTGCAAACTTTGGCTCACCACACCTGCCCCAGTCATTGTGAGATTCTGGCGATCTACACCGAGGGAAAGGGTCCAGTCATCCCATTGTGCTGCTTGTAGAGCCTTATCGGCTTCATGAAGGCCCCCGTCCTCTGAAGGAGGCGTTGGTACACATATGCCACTTCCTGGTATATCGATGCAGAAAGGCAACGACAATGTCCAGTCTGCACATGCAGAAGGGATGAGCGTATCCTTTGATGTGGTTCCGCTTCGCAGCAGGGGAGCAGATCTTCTGCGCTCCCGCGGAACCGCTAGAAAGGGTATTGTGGAAACAGCACTCGACTTCCTCCTTGTTTTTTTTGATGGAGTTGCGGGCTCGGGGTTAGCCTCAGCATGAATCTGCACGCGTTTCGGAGGTGAATCGGAACAGCTGAGCGCCCCCTTTGAACGTCGAGTGCCTGGTACCAGTATGCTCTTCATGAGTCGCACTTGAGCTTCCAAATCATCGGCTGCCTCTAATACCCCGATACTCGCACGCTTGCCTAGGACAGGGGAAGTGGCATTGGACATGCCGTTATTGGCAGGGGAACACGGAGAAAGTTCTCTATTTCTCCCTACTTTTGAAGGAGAGGAAGGCGGACTTGGTAGACTTGAGGGAAGAGGAACCACAATGCGTCCTGTAGCACCCCAGCTTAAACGAGAAGGAAGTCGCAGGCTTCCAGGAGAAGGAGGGATCGCAACTGTGCCTAAAGGCGAGTCAGTACGCACAGGAGTACGAGCACATTTTGAGGGAGTCGGGTTGATTGTTGGAAGTGGAACTGGAGCGTTGGGGGGCGTGATAACATCCGAATTCGGTGCCGTTAAAGTGGGTAGTGGAGGAAGGGGGCTACTGGGTGGAGGTCCCGGCAATGGCGGTGTCAGTATGGAACGGGAACCGGCCCGTGCACGAGACCAGGGGAAAGAAGAATTCGTTGAGGTAGACGATCTAGGTGCGCTAGGTGAGGCTGAAGGAATGCGGGATGAAGGTTGGCATGATGGTATGGATGCAGTAGGAGATGGGAGGGAGCACGCAGAGACGGAACTTTCAGTATCAGAAGGTACGTGAGGTGATGCTCCAACCGCTGGTTGAAGGCAGAGAGATGCAATCTCTTGAGGAGGAAGAACCAGTGTCAATGCTGAGGGACGTCGTCTTGTTTTAGACTGGACAGTACTGTCACTACTTCTATGCGACGAAATGGCAAATCCAGTCGCTCGAGGTGTGGCATTATCATCGATAGGTTCGACGACGTTGCATTCTATTGCTGAGGTGTCCGATCCTATTTCCATGACGTCCGGACTCGTCATTGGTCCTCTGCATGTGTTACTCGGTGATGATTTAATACCAAATAGGAGCTGTAGCGGTGAGCGCGGTGTGGGTGGAAAGTAAGCCGTTTGAATCGGAGAAAGCCGAGAACGTGTTGTGGCAACTGGTGAGGGGGATCTCCTTGTACTGAGGGCCACATTTCCTATTTCCGTAGATGCCACTACTTCCGCGAGATGCTTAGAGAGACGCTCAGATGTGGGTATCACTGAACCAAGACTAGAGGTTGAAGACATGCTAGTCAGTGCTCTGGAAGGTGATAAAACGGCAGAAGTGACACTGCATCCAGACGACGAGCGAGAACGATTTAACAAGACACTTGGGATGTCTTCCACCTACATAACATGAATATGAGCATTCGAGTGCAGAGTCGTGTACGCACCGGTTGATCCTCAGCTCGGCGAGACTTATGGGGCGATAAACGGGATAAACGCCAAGTAAATGCCATCTTGCGAGGGCTCGGTGTGACAGGCTCGTCTACCTGTTTCGTGGGCGAACGTGGAGTGAGAGGTAGATGTGATGATGAGCGAGCGAACAGGCGGTGAAATGTTGAGGTTTTCGGTTTTTCTGAGTTCGAAGGCAGTGGGTCGTGAAAGACAGTGTCGGGAACGTTAACGTTTTCGAATCTTTCCAAGTCGAGAGACTCGGTGAGAATATGATTCAACTCATTTATAGATAGAGTTGGCGGTCTGCGGGTACAGAACATTCTAATAGAAGGAGTGACTGAGTGAGTGAAGAGAGTTGGACAGACAATTAAAATAATCAAGACGACGCGAGTCGACGGTGGACGGAGTCAAGGCATTTCTTCCTTGGAGAACGTGAAGTCAGGGTTGGAGGAGCCTTACCCGTTCTAGAAGTGCAATATATACGATACGTACTAGCTTCGTAATTCAAGATGAACTTTCTATTAGTCGGAGATTATCGGTTAACTTGAATGGGCTACAGTCTCAGCTCAAGTGAGCAGCAGCTACACTGGCACTGGTAGGAAGATCACAGATGGTTGGACACGGCGTGAGCGACGTGAGAGGCAAGCCACGAAATTCGTCGGTTGGGATCGACGCGAGTAGTTATCAGCCTAAACACGAGGCAGATTACCTCTTCCAAAGTCGTTCGGTTCTTAAATGACAAGGTAGTACGTGTGTTACCTCACTGCCCAAGGTCAAGACCTCCAGCACCGCTTGGTAAGTCTTAAGCACAACCTTGCCAACTCTGTGACGCCCGACCTCATCCGCCCCGGTAACCTCCAACTTAGTACGCTCTTCCGTATCACGCACTGCCTCTACGTCTCGAAACACTATGCTGACTCGGAATCACCCCAGGGGTGAGGCCCTGCTTTCTCCGCCGTCGGGGTGTTTATTTAACCTTATTTCACTTACTAAACCCCGGCTCAATGACAGAATATTAGATTTAGTCCAACTTCGTCTTTATAAGGAAGACATAAGACATATCTCCATGTTTTTTTAAAAAAAACCTCGTCCAACTTCAATGCAGGGTCCCGAAATGGACAACAGGTCGAAGACAATGTTACCGTGCGATGATGGTGGTACTGGCGCAGGCTCGTATCGTTTTGAAGTACCTGGCAATTATAATACCGATAGATACGAGTCACCGGATAAGAACGAAGGCAGCGAACGTGGACCTGGTGGACGAGTGGAGTTTGGCGTGGTGGAGGTTGCATGCGACCCAACTCAGTTGTAGGTTAAGGTTTAGATGCGGCTATGACGAATTGTCATTGCCGTTCATGATGCTGGCCCAAGTTGGAGAGCGCCACAGTCTGCCACAGTCAAGTTGCCCTGTTCGTGGCCAAGAGGTTAGTCACACTGCCACCGCTGTTCATACTACTCGGGTAAGTCGCAGCTGACGAGGTTTTCGAGGTCTTGTCATAAAGTTCTTACCTTTTTTTTCAATAATTGGGAGCCGAAGCACACTTTAGTCGTAATAATCCAGCACCTAGAGGCCAGCTTTAGCAGACTTGAAGCACAATAATCACCTTCTGAGAATCCCAATACCGGGTATTTATCATAATGGATGACTCCTAGCTCTCTAACTAATATACTAATTTCTAGTGCTAAGCTTAAGCAAGGAACAACACAATAAAATGACCTTCTGAAAAATTCACCGTACAGCATGTGTACCAAACTTTCATCGTCCTCGGCGTCGGGCGATGTCAGCTTACGTCGAGTAATTGTCAAACTCATCTTCATACTTGAAGAAATTTTCGTTGGGACCCGAACTGGTATTTCAAAAAGCTTTAATGCTAGTAGTCATCTTCCAATTTTCCGATCTGACAACTTAATTTGAAACTTGCGTTTTGACAGATTGTATTAGGCCATTTGTTTGTCGGCCTCTCCATTCGAGGACAAGCATACTACTAGTAGTGTCTTGGGTGTTTTGTAACTCAATAATGCGGCGGCAATGCGGGTCTCAGCCTTTTTTTTTTTTTTCAAAGTTATTGGTCACTTTGGTGTCTTGCTAGCCAGAGCGTTCCGACACTGCAATATGCTCCCAAATTTTGTCTTTCACTGGTGAGACAGTCAGCCTTGATCTTCTCTTCTGATAGACGCCCGTGATACATCCCTGCAGCAGATGACTGTCTCCTGATCTTCCTAACGGTAATTCTTACCCCGGGTTTACTATTACTAGCCTCGGAGCTTTCGTAACAATCATGTGTCCCGACTTCGGACGCACTAGCCATGACGAACAATGCTTCAAGCGTTTCTGGATGACCATCCGGTCGTTTGTCGAACCAATTTTACATCATTGTCATTTCCAGATGCGCAAGCATATATTATAATATGCCCCTTAACCTTTCTGCATGTCACGGACACTTATATCCATCTTCCAACGATCCCGGCTCCGCATAAACTATACATCTAATGCCGCGAATCAAATGAACCATCGTTTTCTCATATGCCAACTGAGCGCACCCATGTGGTACCTCAAGGCCTCATGACTCGGACCAAAATATTAGATGACTCGAAGTCGTCGGTAAAGTCCGCTCAGGCGAGCTGCCCAATCCAACACGAATGATGATTAATGTGGACGCGATGCCCTGATGATACACGTATATTCAGCTGAACCACGAACCAAGATGTGAGAGGACTCACATATATTTGTGTCCCAGTGTAACTTAATACCGCCTCGGCAGGATTTTGAATGGCTACGAGGACGACAAGGATGAGTTGCGTGACCATATACAGAGCACCACTCTCGATGATGAGCATCATCGGGCGCCCACCAGCCGCGATTTTCAAAATCACAGGCTTTCCATGCTCGTTGATGATGGGAACGCGAGATATGTGCCAGAGACGACCAGCGATGAGCCCAGTGACCATGATATTTGTGCAAAGAGGCAAAACATATCCAGCAATAGTCAAGGGTACAATCGCAGTTGGAGGGATCGGTGATGTCGGGTCGATTGACAGAACGAGGGATGGTATGGGCAAAATGCACCCTGACACATGAAAGGTGAAAGTGAGCATTCTCATCTAAAGAGAAGATTGATGATGATTTACCAAAGCCCCCAAGAGCAGTGAGCAGAGGGAGAATGATCACATAAAAATTATTTCCCCAGACAAACCAGCATCGATATAGTAGGAGTAAGTCTCCAATTAAATCTGCAACAGAGCTCAGCAAATTGGCTCCCATTAATGCGGGAGTTTCGTCCCCGAACTCTGAGAACGGAGCGTGATCCTATACCAATGTAAGTCTTCATTAGATCATGAACTGCTATTCCTCACGAGTGTAATGTAGAAATGGTTGAACACTAGTGCAAAATGAGCCGTCGATGTCATAAAGAGGAGGCAGTTTGCGACCCAAATCACTCGGTTAGACACTCGATAGTGTTTGATGAGGATTACGACAGAGATGATGAATAGCGTGCAGTAGACTCCTGCATGGTGATGTTAGTGATTACTGATTGGGGAATTAGCAGCAGGGAATCGCGCACCGTACAAAAACGCCTCACATACTGTACCTATAGCTGCAGACATATTTACTGAGACGCCCATATCAACCTTAGAGGGAGAAGAAGGCGAGAGTCGCAGAAAATGCGAGACGTTTTACTACGATTGAAATAGATTCATATCTAGCAAAAACCTTTGAAGCACTGACGTGATTTAGCTAATGGGCATAATAGGGCTCCGTGAGCCGGTCAAATAGTAACTCTCAAGTAGTTGTTCACGTAGGTTACCTGCCTTAAGGCTCGGGCCTTAAATATTTGAATAACAGTGTTGTTGGCAGAACTCGGGAGTTTCGCGGTTTCCCAACCGGTCTGGTTGTGCCTGGTCCATGACGGAACTCCCAGGATCAGGGTATCTGATCATGAGACTCGTGGAGATGTAATTTGAGTTTGATAATGATTTCAACAGAACACAAAAACCTATATCCGTAAAGTAACATGGTGTATGCTGGAAGACGCCCCCCTCGCATCACTAAGTTCCAATAAAATTTCACCGACTCAAAAGTTTTGTCATGACGGTGGTCTCAATTGTAGGACATGCAGACGAAGTAGAGCACACATTCTCTGATCTCAGTGTGATCTCTTGGCAGTTGACACACTTCGTGCGAACCTTCGACAACACAACACCGTAAAAGCTTATAAAAGCCGCACAGGGGAAGTCTACCCGACATGCACACATGCCAGTGCACACCCATGAAGAGGCTGTTATTGCTGTTGAGACTGCACAAAATCTGGAAGAGGTTAGAGACTGCACAGGATCTTGAAGCGTCACCTCGCGTGGATACCTCCGATCTTGACCGAGCTTCGTGATGAAGATCACCAGAAGATGACCTTGCTGAGAGTATCTCGCCTTGTGATGTTGCTGTTGAATTTGCAGCTCTCGAAGAGTCGAAGAGGACTGAAGTTCAGAGTATCAACGCAGGTGAAGTGCTCGGGGAAATGCTTTTGACGCGTTGAATCGGGTTGAACAAGGAATAATACCACAGCGCCCAATGTGCCTAAATTGTAAGCACTTATACATAATAATTAGCCCTTGCACACGCATACATATATATCAAAGATTCAAAGGTTAAACAGATGACCACTGTTCCACGCCCAATTGTGCAGCTAACAGATAAATAAAGGAACAATCATTTCTCCATGTCAACCGACTGAGCTCATCCCTGTATCTTGTCATTGGGAATGAAACTCCATTTGAGTTATCGTTAACATAGTCTGCTCGGACGAAATGCCCAGCCCGACACGAATTATGATCAAGGTGGACGCGATGCCCTCATACGCATGGTTGATTCAGCTGAATCACGAGCTAGAACTTGAAAGCACAATGACTTACATATACCTGTGTCCCAGCTAAACTTAATACCCCCTCGGCAGGATTTCGAATGGCTACGAGGACGACAAAGATGAGTTGCGTGACCATATACAGAGCATCACTTTCGATGATGAACATCATCGGCCGGCCGCCAGCCGCTATTTTCAAGATCGCTATATTTCCATGTTCGTCGACAATGGGAATGCGAGATATGTACCAAAGGCGACCGGCGATGAGTCCAGTGACCATGATATTTGTGCAAAGAGGCAAAGCATATCCGGCAATAATCAAGGGTACGATCTTAACTGGAGGAACTGGTGATGTTGGGTCGATCGACAATACAAGGGATGGTACAGGTAAGATACACCCTAGCATATGGGGGCGAAGGTGAGCTTTTTCATCTAAAGAGAAGACTGATGATAATTTACCAAAGCCCCCAAGAGCAGTGAGCAGAGGGAGAACAATCACATATAAATTCTTTCCGCAGATAAGCCAGCATCGATAAAGTAGAAGCAGGTCTCCGATGACATCAACCACAGAGATCATTAAATTTGCTCCTATCAATGCAGGAGTTTCGTTTCCGAAATCTGAAAACGGAGCATTTCCCTGTAGTAATATGAGTATTCATTTCATGATAAGTCTCTTGCGTTTTCCTCACGAGCGTGGTATAAAAATGGTTGAACATTAACGCAAAATGAGTCGTCGACGTTGTAAACAGGAGGCAGTTTGCAACCCAAACCGCTCGGTTAGACACTTGATGGCGTTTGATGAGAATCCCAACAGAGATGATGAATAGTACGCAGTAGACTCCTGTACATAGAATAATGTCAGTGATGGGCCTGAATCGCTCAGAGAAAGAACATCACACACCATATAAAAGCGCTTCGCATACGAGACCTACAGCTTGAGTTGTGTCTATTGAGACAGTCATCCCACTGCGGCAACGTGGGGAAGATGCAGAAAAAATGATCCACTTCTTTGACTTGAAGACTTGCCAAGTACGCGTTTCAGATGTCGGATCTGGTGGGGACAGTCCGTACTATGCTGAATCATGATCCCATCAGGTCCCCGTGACAAATCGAAGGTCCATGCAAGGCCTAAATAGTTGGTTCCTACCCATCCTTAAGTCCTTCCGCGGGGCTTTGGCCCTTTCTAAGCCTTACTGTTAGGTAGTCTAGTAGGGCATAGATATGCTCGCGAAGTAACACAGCAAGTTCCGAAAACTTCGTGCCGCTGCCGATGATCTAGTGAGTACTGCGGTCATAATTGTGCGGGACTCATCGGCGGGACGTATTGCGCTACAGAGTGTTACAGGGTGCTACAAAGTGCTTTGTAGCAAACTATGTTTCTCTGATGGGCTTGCTATACCTTTTTTGTTCGACAGATTGGATGACGAGTGTTTAATCGGGACACTTGTCATAGCATTCGTTAGATGATCACAGCACAGCAAGCGTATCTATAGCGCTCACCGAACTTGAATAACCGATACGTGATTGTTTATGGATACAACTTGGGAAGCGAGGAAAAACTTGTAATCAGTGCCAGTCCTGTGTTTGCTATTATTATGTACTATGTAGTAGCTCGGAATATCGCGAATCGATTATTGGGTATCGATGTGATGAATCACAGGAGTAAGTTGTTGCAGTGCCGAGTGTTTACGATTAGGAATAAAAATAATTATCGAATGCGTGAGTAGTACTGAGCTCGTAAAAGTCAAAATGGGTATCATTGGGGTATCAAGCAAAGGTTTATCATAGCCGTTGAACGGGTTGAAGGTTGAGAATCAGTTGCATGCCCTGTCCCGTAGGAGAGTAGCTTAATCCCATCCATCTACGAACATCTCCTAAACAGTCTATACGCCGTGGTCCTTGTCGATATTCCCAGCCATGCAGCGTCGGACTCGTGGAAGCTCTCTCTCGTAAAGCCCACAAAACTGCTTCGCCACCGTCTGGGCTCACCCATTCGATGTGTTCCATCTCAACCCGAGTAAGAGGTGTCTGTAACCATTCGTAAATGGCATCGAGAACATCCTGGACCTTGATAGCGCTGGACCTTTGCACCCTGACGACATTCCGCATGTACGCCATGGGACAAGCTGGGATGGCAATTTCGATAATGCCAACCGGAATATCCGCAATGTGAGAGCTCAGAACGTTTGCCAGATCTGTGGAGATGTGTGCACCCGTCGTCAGCCTAGCGGTAATCGGGTTCTGGCGGACATCCCACTGAAGTATAGGCATGTCTGGTTGGAAAGGATTTGTAGCAAGGTAGGGTGCAATTTTCGGGCGTGCATCGAGCATCTGAGGCCACGGTACAGCAAAAAGTGTAGCAGGAGTCCACCGAACTGTTTCGGGTAAGTAGCTAAGTGCGTTCATGTGTGGGGTCCAGGTTAGATTGCCAGCTGGAAAAGACCACACATTGTGGTCGGGTTGTCTGGCTGGCAGCATAGGCGTGCTAACCCTGCTTGTGTCGACCCAGGCAGGCACCCGCCACATATATCGTGGCGGGAAGCCATTTCGCCAGGGAGGGGCCGATCCTAGATCATACACATGCATCCCGTTACATTGATGCACAAAAACCAGAGAACAACTTACCAGGGGTGTCATGGTCTACACTTCGAACACTTCTCTGCTTTGTGCAGCGGAGGGAATAATTGCGCCACCAACCACACAAGCCTCTACTGTGACTGGAACAATCACAGGACGCGTTGTCGCAATGCATTATGGAAGAAGGTGTTGAAGACTGAAGTGCCTACAGGAAAAGCTTTTGTACTGTCGGACAGTCTAAGGGCGAGCACAGGTGTCAGTCCCATACTACATGTGCCAAGGAACACCCCAAGAATCGATGCGATGCTCCAGTGGGTGCCTATCTCAACACAAAAGCATCGCGCACAAATCCCTGCGGAACTACAAGGCTACTTCAGCAAATAAAAATACGTCGCTAAGAGAGGATTACATAGTTGACAGCAGAACAAGACGAAGTTCACAAATTAGGGCAATCGTGAACCCATAACTTGCTGGCACAATAGCCTGGCTGCACACATATGTACACATGCGCCTACAAGGGTAGTACTACGCGAGGGAAAGCCGTGACACGACATCTCACCACACATGCACGAAAAAGCGCCTTTCAGGAGTAATCAAGTAAACTGTCAGACCGCCAACATTACCGTGAATCTATTTCAATATTTTACCGAAGTACGCCGACAGCGACTCGTGTATCGAAAGGAACACGTCTGAGAAGGTGCCAGACTCAGTGAGTGTACATAAACAGGCGTCGAAACTTACTGTCGCGCAGATGATTCAGCAGGTATGTCTGCACTGACACGCCGACTCGGAGGGAGGCCCGGAACCAGAGAACGACTCGGAGCATTTAACTTTAGTTGCAGGGCTGAAGTCGAGAGCCTGCCAGTGAGAACTTCAAGGTGAACATTAACAAGTATCGAACCAGTATGGGAGAGCGCTTGAGTGTCACCAGTGTTTGACCAGTACTACTATCCAAGCGTCATGCATTCGAAACCAGGCAGCTGTAGAACGTTGGCGAGTGGAAGCCATCTGAGGCTGGAGTCTTCGGCACCGGCATCCAAACATCACACGAGCCTATCAAGAATAGGAAGCGAGTCGACTGAGGCAACCAATTAGGATCGAATTCTTCTCTCACATTTCAACATCAATCCTCACGCACACGACCAGCTAAGTGTATTGACGTTGACAGATCTAGCCACCCGCTCGGTTCCGAGCACTGAGATGTGAAACCTGATAACTTCCATGACAAAATTAACGACCAACAAGAGCGCAACAGCCACCCTCCACGCGTCGTGACGCTTCGGTCGTCTGTGATGTGGCGTAAAAAGCTCAATAACGGTTTGGAGATAATCGTGAAGTAGAACATATAGAAACGCGAAACGTAAAATGAATTACTCCTCAACTTGAGCAAAAGCATGGATAATGGAAAGGAGGCGTATGATAGTGTCTATGACCATCCAAGCCGAATTATACAAACCGAAACGAGAGCCGAGGATAGGGCGGGGACGTGTCCGACATCATTCTGAATTAGCGCTGGCAACACGGTCGCGGAGACCCTCAGATGTCACCGTGTCGGTCGGCGCTACAGCACGCGAGATTGCCAAGTTTGACACGACAGGCTTCAACACAACGGTGTAAATCGTTTGTGCGCCCTAGAAAAGATATCAACCGCCTGCGTGTTCATTAAATTTCTCGACTTACGCGGAAGGTTGGGAGCTGCAACCAGAGGATGAACACTGTCTTGAATGCAAAGTACCATGGGAAGTAGTAGAGAACCATTCTGAGTGCAATGCTCTCGAGAAAGTTGAAGAAACCAAAAACAACCCAATACGTGAGCCACTGAACGTCATCCTGGTGACCGGGGCTCTCTAGCGCCCTGAAGGAGAGGTATGATGGAAGAGCCCATCCAACGAGGTTAGAAACAGGTGCGGCGAGAGGGTTGACGAAGTGGAAAAGGGTGAGGAGAAAAACTGTGCAGCTGACAAAGTAGGTCTTTGGGATCTGAGTTCGCTGCTCAAATGTGTTCAACACTGGATACTTCGTGAGCTGTTCAGGAGTTTATGTTAGTTGAAGGAATTGAGCCAAGAGACTGTTACTAACTTCCTTGTCAAGCTGTTGGATGTAATAATTTGCCTTGTTCTGCGCCTGGATGAAAGCAGGGTGCTGCTGAACCTTTTGGGTTGCGGACATCTGCAGAGTACGGGACAATAAACGGTTTTCTTGTCAAAAGCCAGAAATAATGATATCTAATTAACACGACTGACCTTAAGGGGACGTGAAATATGTACTGAGAAAACTGATTAGGAAGCAGTCAAGACGACGATGGTAAGAAAGAAAGAGAGTGGGGGCGGATACGTCGTTGATATGGGTTTGATGACATGTGTTTGGCGGCCACAATACGTCAGCTTACTGTCAGCTTTGCCTCAAGTTTCCGTGGCCCAGAATCATATATTAGTGCAGCAATCTCCGCAGCAGCTTGCTCCCCGTTTCAGATCCTTTCACAACTCGTGCTAAACGTCTGCTGCAGTCATGGACAATTACGAGGCAATTCAGGTATGTAGTTGATATCCACCGCATAGTCAGTTTAAGCCAGATTCGGACACGTCTCAACCACGCTGAACAGGCCCTCCATAAATCACTGCCTTCATTCTCACCTTATGTGCCCGCGTCTCTTCTGCCGTCCATAGCTCTTACCCTATTGGCATCAACGTTCGCTCTTGCATTCTACTTTTCAACGTAAGTCGCCGCTTTAAGCTTCTGTAATACGTGTTCCTATACCCATGTCCACAGCCTTCCAAAAGACACGTTTCCGCTACGCGAGACCGCGGTGGCATCATTAGCAAGTGTCCTCGGTGGTTTCGGAGTTGTCGCCCTGTTCTGTAGTGTTGGAGTGAACGTGTAGGCTTCTTCGTGTCCTGACAGTTCCAATCAAACGTTGGATATCCCTATCCAAAACATTTTACACTAATTGTTGACACGCCAACCGTGTTTGCAAGAGACACACTGAACAACGATACATAAGACGGGGATAACGAATGACGGGGGTGACGTACTGTGTATAAAATTGTTGAACCTTCATCAGCACTGCGCATCTGCGATCGTGGTCAGCTCATTTTTAGTGTTAACGGTATTAACAGTCTTCCTTGCCTGTTTCTCTTCGTAATAAGCTTCCAGATGTCCGCAAGCCGGGCATTTTTCTGACACCTGTTGATGGTGTGAGGAGGTTTTATTATCTCCAATACGTTGATGCTGGTCACCTTTGGTAAAACTTTACCCTGATGAACCTTCGTTTGGGTTTTGCGCTTTTGTCTCAGCGCTGAAGGAAATGCTTCAGGGTGAGACCGAGTGGTGATCTCAATATTCTCATAAGCTGCGGTATATTAAAATGATGATCTGTGTGGCTCAGAGAGTACACACATGATGCCGGCTCCTCATAGCTGCATTGTTCGCAGATGACCGTTTTCTCGTCGTCTTTTGGAGGACTGAGGAGAGTACCACAATGAGGGCAAAAGATCAGAGAACCTAGGAGTTGATCACATTTTCTGTCTCGGATCTGAGTTCAGTCCATCGACTCACCAATTTTATGTGCGAGAGTCGGCATGATAGGAAGCTGGAAATGATACTATGGAGCACCTAGCATACGGCGCCTGCGCGTCGTCGCGTCGGATGCAATAACGACTACTTTCACCAGTTTTAGAACAAGACCTTTTTGTCAGCGCCCACACCGACGACGGTCTAAACATTCATTCATCCTTGCGCCCACACTGTATCGATGCAAGTTGCTAGACCCTAGATATCGCTTTGTTTTCGCTCTTGATGTCCGACGTAACTATCGCTGAAGAAAGGCCGGCTGGTTAATGATCATCGCTGCCATCTGATGATCTGACGGCACGTTCCAATGGGTTGCTTTGACCTGCCTTCCATGTCAAATATCACCGAGAATCACAATAAAGGGACACCAAAACGAGTGGCACTTCTTTGTTCTTCTGTGCCGAGTCCAAGCTAATCTGACGTATGAGCCCCCCTAGACTCAGACTCATCACATATATATGAACGCCTTTTTTCATCCAGAAATCTCGGACCTTCTTCGTCATCCTTACTTTCCTTGCCTTCATCCGGCACGCAGGCGTGCTACTGACTTACTGGGCTGCTACTATACAATTTTTTACCTTCTTTTTGCACTCACCGACACGTAAAACGCTCATAATTTTCACTTCTACCATCACGCGCCACTCGCTCTGATCCACTTCTATTCAAATAACGCCATTTTATATGATGTCTTCTCATACCGCGCTCTCTGACGCAGCTCTCTCTGACCTCGCTTCAAAGCTACGGTACGCTAACGCGCGTTACGGCCAGATCGCTTTTCAACTGCGCTGTCGGATAACAATCACGCGCACGTATCACGCACAACGACGTGCTTTCTGGTCTGGCTTGCGCGTCGATATAGCAAAGGCTAAGGATTGTCCTTCGACTGCAATTTCAATCAAGCCCCTGCCTGTCCTTGACACGACACCGAGTCCATTGCCGCTTATGCTTTCACCGCTTGCACTTGCTGCCGAAGCCCGCAACGAACTTGGCTTGGAGATTCCAGACATTATCGTATCTCCCCCCGATGCCTACGCCCAGCCCCGCAAGCGCCTTATCATTCGGATCCCACCGCTTGTTAGCCTTTATGACCATATGTACCGCCATGAACATTGTGACACGTCTGCTCCGGGCGCGCCACTCATTCGGACCAAGGAATTACCCGACTGCGAGATGGATGAAGTGTTCTCTTCAAGTTCATGTAGGCTCTGAAAAGATTGTTGTATTTTTCGTGACTGAATGATCATCTTCAGCTTCTTCCGCGTCTTCCACCCCCCTCTTAACACCCGTGAGTCCTCTTAAGTATGTGGCCCTTTAGCACACTAAACTGCTGCATCAGATTGACATTGTTCACTCCGGTCTTCGTATCAAAATTCCGGCGAGGAAGCGCAAGCTTGGAGAGGCTGACGACGAAGATTCCTGTCCGGACAATTCTGACATTCAGTTTCCCAGGGTTTGTTCCTCCATGATTCGATGATGCAAATGCTGATGCCTTTATTCTAGAAGCACATGAGGAAGCGCTGGGCTTGTTCACAGGCGACTAACGACCGACTATATTGGTCTCCTCATCGGTCACAAATTGCCTCGCTTTGAGCTTGCGAGTACGATAATCACATCACGATTTTATGCGGTTTCTGCGAATACATACAATACCCAGCTTGTCAGTTCATTTAATACCTCTCATTGTTGTGGACACTGGTCATACGAGACTGTATCTTCTTCCATGTCATTTTCAGTTGCCTTTGAGGGACTCAATAGTTACTACCTGCCTAATGGTGTACCGCGAAGTACTGTTTGTGCCATCTTACCATAAGAAACCTTCTTCGGTTCTCGCGCATCCCAAAGCTGCGACTGCATTGAGATGTGAACGAAAGTCAGTCGCGACACCAGTACTGAGGAGAAACTAGCACTGGACATCAGCTGACAGCCCGGCATGGACTCCGATCGAGACAGAAAACTTGAATAATGGATCGAAGTTGACTCGGATAAAGTGGTACTACTGTACGGCGCTGTTTGCCTGCCTAATGTAGCCCGGACTGTAGCTTTTGTTCTTGCCTCGTCTTATATTAGTCCATTCGGTTAACGCTATGTGAGCGCGTGAGCTTCGAGGCAACAGTCGTTAAATAGGGTACTTGGATAGGAAGCTCGTCTCCATCGTGACCTCTCTCGCTTACTACTACCACAACCGTGACGCTGCCGCTTATGATGAGTGCCGAAACTACTGATCCAACCTCTCAATCGAACTATCGTCAGATCAGCACAAGCCACTTTTCTCTCGACTGGTCGATTGATTTCCATGAGAAAGTGATCAAAGGCTCTATCACGCACGACCTTACCGCGCACACGAGCGACTTAAAGGAGGTCATGTGTGTTTCAAATTACCTATCCATGTTATACGGCAAGTACTTATGTATATAGTTTCGATACATCGGATATCGTGATCAAGAGCGTGTACGTCGAGGGCGAGTCTTGTCATGCTCAGGTGCGCAGACAGTCTTCTTTGATGCACAGGTTCAAAGTGCCATGACGAGCTTATAGTACTCCCTGGGAGAGAAGCATGAAGTCATGGGCTCTGCGCTGTATATTCCACTTCCTGCAGGTCTGCAGCCAGGATCAGTCGGTGAAAGTGACGATCGAGTACAATACCACAGAGCTGGGATGCAAGGCATTGCAGTGGCTTGACAAAGCGTCAGTATCCATTGAACAACTTCTTGTTTCGTGTTAACGCTAAAGCTGCTGGGTCGGAAAGACAAACGCATGGCAAGACCCATCCTTACATGTTCAGTCAGTGCCAACCGATTTATGCAAGAGGTCTCTTACCATGTCAAGGCAAGTTTCAATATTTTGATACACAATATGCCAAAGCAGCTTAAATGGTACACGATACATTCAGATACTCCATCCGTGAAAGCTGTCAGTCATTGTTGGTCTGGCGCAGTTGTGATTTGAAATTGACATCTTCGAATAGACATATGAAGCAAGGATCACGTCCGTCTTTCCTGCACTCATGTCTGCTATTCGAGTGTCTCCGCCTGCGGAGGGCCCTGTACACGATGGAAAGATTATCGGGCAGGATGAAGTCACTTACGTTTACAACCAGGTATGTGGTGCCCAGCAGGATTATTAACCCTTATCCTGACCTTCCTTGATGTTCAGCCAGTGCCCATACCATCTTATTTAATTGCAATTGCATCAGCAAATCTCTGCTACCGTGCATTCGAGAAGCTCGAAGGAAAGGACTGGACGAGCGGAGTGTGGGCCGAGCCAGACATCATCGATGACGCTTGGTGGGAATTTAAGGAAGACACGACAAGGTTCTTGCCAGAGAATTAGAGTTGGTGAGACATTTGAGAACTTCTTCCATAGGTTTTTGGCTGCAGAGGAGGAACTCGTTGGCATGCCGTATAAATTCGGTGTGTATGACCTCCTAGTGTTGCCTCCGGCATTCCCTTATGGTGGCATGGTACGTTCTTTTATATCCCTTGGTCAGATTCTGATAGATATCCAGGAAAATGCATGCTTGACGTTTGTCACGCCGAGTTAGTGCATATGACTTATCATGTTGCGTTTCTGATCAAAGATTAGCTTTGTTGACTGGCGACAGGACATTAGTGGATGTCGTCGTACATGAGATCACACATTCCTACTTCGGGAATGGTATAACGTCAGAACATCTACCTCCCTCTCCTGCCTCTTTTTGACTGTCATTCATGCATAGACACGCAGATGCTTCACACTTCTGGCTCAACGAAGGTTGGACGACGTACATCGAGCGCCTCCTCCAGCAGATACTGCATTCCCCTGCTCATCGCGGATTCTCTTTCCTGACTGGTTCGAAGGATCTTTATGATGACCTCAAACTTTATGAGCAGCGCAACAAGAAATATCAGAAATTGCAGATTGAATTTGAGAAAGGCGAGAATCCTGACGACGCCTATAGCACAGTGCCATATGACAAAGGCGCCAATTTCCTCCTTCACATTGGTTGGTGCTCATTCAGTCCGAATGCTTTGCAGGATGCTGACGGCGTTTTTGGGCTTTCAGAACGGACGTTGGGTGGTTTAGATGTGTTCCTCCCATATGCAAAAGATTATGTCAAGACGTTCATGGGTAAAAGCATCACCACAGAGATGTGGAAGGAGCATCTTTTTGCCTACTACACACAGTTTGGTGGGGACGACGAGCTTGAAGCACTCAAAAGCATTGATTGGGATGCAAGTATTGATTTTTTCTCCTTCGCATCATCCTGACTCACGATTGCGTCCACGTAGGCTTGGCTTTTTGGAACGGGTGTGACCCTTCCCGTGCCTATGGAATATGACATGACCCTCGCGCAAAAATCTTACAAACTTGCTGAAAGGTGGAGCAAGACCAAAGATACATCCGAGTTCAGCGCCACTGATATTGGTGGGATGGACGCTAACCAGATCGGTGAGGGCGAGTGTCGTTCATGGTCATTCCTGCTGACTGTGTTATAAGGCGCTTTCCTTGAACGACTACAATCTTTCGACCCGTTGCCAGTAGCACATATTGATGACCTTGGTGACCTCTACGGGCTGGTTAATTCCCCCAATGCAGAGCTGCGTCTGAGGTTCTATCAAGTAGCTTTGCTTGATCCCAAATCTACTAAGTCGGAGCAATATGCTACAGCGGCTTTGAAATGGATTGTTGGCGAAGAGGATGGGATGGTCAAGGGTCGGATGAAGTTCTGTCGGCCAATATTTAGAGCGGTGTTTGCTGTCAACCAGGCCATGGCACAAGACAAGTATGAAGAACACAAGAGTTCATTCCACCCCATCGCACGCGATCTTATTGAGCTGGTGAGAGATATATAGGTTCCTCACCGATGAAACTAATACCGGCGCAGGATATCGAGTTAATTGAAGATCACGGGACTAATGTATAACGGACATTTATCTATCAAACTGTATCAGTGCAAAATCGATATTACTTGAAGTCACCCCAAAGATCCCCGAATACATCGTCCTTCTTGGGCGCGGGGTGCGCCTGAGAAGTGCCGGAAAGGTTGGTGTTACTGGGCGTGGAGACAGACGATCCCCAGATGTCATTTGTATTGAACGAGTTCACTTGAGATTGGGGCTGTTGTGCCATAGGAGTCACAGAGCTCCCCCATAGTGTATTTTGCGAGGGTGCAACGGGAGTAGCGTTCCAGCCCGAAGAAGCGCCCCACAAACCGGTGCCATTGGTCCCCATCATGCTTGTAAGCTGAGGTTGTGTCTGAGGAGCGCTTCCAAGTTGATCCCATGCTGATTGTGACTGAGAGGGTGATGCAAAAGTGCCAAAAGCACTGGAACCGACACCTGTTGATAGGTTGGAATGATTGGGGGTGACAGCGGGAGCAGAGGAAAAGAGGGACATGATGTCTGATTTCATATCTTTAGATGGCGGTGGTGAGGCTACCTTTTGAGCGGGTGCATGGAAGTCCAGTGAGAATAGGTCGTCTTGAGCTGGAGGGGCAGGCTGCGCCAACGTTGGCTGAGATGCAGTAGACGTCGGAGAGGCAATGATATTAACTTCAGAGTTGATTGCTCTGCCGGCAATTGCGGAGGAGAGCAACTGACGGGATTGAGGCTGACGTGTTGTGATGTGGGTCTGGAGTGTTGGAGATGCTGATCTTGCACCAGAGATACTGGTATGTGTTATATGAGTTGGGCGTGAGGATTGCGTAGCCGCAGGGGATGTCTGTCTAGCAGCTTGTGAAGCATCTTCATTCGAGGTTTCAGTCTCAAGAACAGATGGATCGGACGGCGGGGGCCCATCAAGTGCCCATCTTCGAGATTCATATTTTGAACGAATGAAAGACTCCATTTTACTATTGTAAATCGTGAACTTATGTTTTGATCGAAGGGTTAAAATTGACATACTGGTCTGGGGGGACATGACCAGACTTTAGATGAGATTCCCAGTACAAGTTGGCACGACGATTCCCCCATTTCTGGATCGACTGCGAAGTGAACAACGTTGAGCAAGTGATGAGACTAACATACGGACGATATGGCTTTACCTCCATCTGTTCCGGTGTCCAGATATCGAGATCAACGGACTTGACGCGGCTAATATGCGTTCCCATGCCACGATGGATGCCCGAACAGCGAATGCACAAGAAGACGCCTCTGGAAAGCATGGTAAGGATAGAGCGGAGGCGGTAATGTAAAACGCACAAATTCCATGATGCCCAACGAGGATCTGGTTTGAGAGTAATTTAAGAGGCTGGGAGATGGGCTACGGGGACAAGACTAACCGTTCCGCTTGCAGTCTGCACAGACCTTATTGTCTGACTGCTTGACCAAGTCTTTGAGAATCTTAGCATTTCTCTCTGTCGTAGCTTTATCTTGCCTGGACATGATGGTCGACGAGAAAACGAAGTGGTCAGAAACAAGATGAATAGATATTTCGGAGGAGAATCAACCTCATTCCTAAAACGTGTCACCGCAAAGGGTCCGCTTCCTATTATTACGCACTAGCAACGTTTTTGCCTACCACATCAATCGTCAAAAGGCAGACAGCGTACTGTCTGCATCCAATAAGGCTAAACTAACGACCGTCACGATGTCAGCTACAGCTCGCGCAGAGGCTCGTCGCAAAGCTATCCTCAGCAGAGGAACTGACCGTTTGTCGAAATTGACGACAACTGCTCGCGGAGAAGATGCTCCCGCATATTTGAGTGCTGGTGAGTGTTTTGACTTGACGCACTACAGATAGTATCGATGTTTTGTACTTTGTACCGTAGGCATTCCTCCCAGAGCTACAGCTGCTAGTTTTGTGGGCGAGAAGCCAAGCATGCCTTCTCAGCCACCCCTGCGCTCTTTTGGAGATGCAGGCATTGGCGGAGCAGCACCCGACCCAACCGTTTGGTCAGAAGAGCATCAAAGGCAGTTCCTTCAAGCTCTCATGAGTGGTACAGCCAATTCTCCACAATTTCCTCAGCCTCAGATCTCGGCTGCGGCCTCCAATAGCACAACTACACCTCCAGGTGACCCTTTCGCTGCTATCATGAATTCGTTGCAACAAATGGACCCATCTCTTGGTGGCGCTACAGGAAAAGTACCTGCTCCTCCCGCACCTGCAAAGCCTCTTTCGATCGTGCAGAGGTTTTCGCCATTGCTGCACATCCTGTGCACATGGCTTATTCTTGCCTTTTTATTCTTTTCAAAGAGCCCCAAACATTGGTTGAGCGCAGCGGTGGCTTTTCGGAAACTTTCTGGAAACGTTGGGCGGAGCTTGCCTGGAGAGGCTCTAGCATCGAGGGCTGGGGAGTGCAGTTTGTGGTCTGTGTTCCGCGCTTGCCTTAACATATCGCCGCTGATCAACGTATAGCCGTTCATGTGGACCTTCATGACTGTGCAAGTTATACTTCACTCAATACGCATATCCACGGGCAATGTAAGTTTCTTCAGGTTGCGAATGCATTGTGCTGATTATACTTGCACAGAACCAAGTGCAGCCCCCGGTTTTGTTGGCGCTAGCTCTGCCTCATTTGCCCCCTCCATTCCCATCCATCATCACGAATGGCTTGCGCTATATCCGGATGGGTAGCGCCATTCTTGATGATCTGTCGGCAGTCGTATTTGGAATTGGGATGGTTGTGTTGATCGCTGGGTGGTTTGCTGGATGATCGGTTCATGTAAATCCCGCCAGTATTATGAGTTTGGGATCATTTTTGAGTAACACATGCGTATGCCTATTAGCTGGAGTGAAAAAGTACTATGAAGTTATGGTAGTATGGCAGCAGCTCCAGTCTTTGGACGCTCAGGTGATGATAACATATTTTCCACCATGGCTTCCAGATTCTCTGGGCTACGCGTGCTCAATTTCGGTGTCCGTTTCTTAGTTGCTGCTAAGCGTTCCTTCTCCTCGCCTGGAAGAATGGGGAGACCAGCAGCTTGAGCAGCGGCCTTGTGCTCTTTCCATAGGTCACCGCCAGCAAGATCCATTAGTTCCTTGGTAATGGACGTGGACCATTTATTTGAAATGTCGATGGTGGTCTTGGCTCCGTCCTCTGTAAATTTGATAGGAACATCGGTGAAGGGGAGAACAGGGAAAGGCGTCAGAACGTGAAGTAAATTCAAAAGATGAATTGAGGTACCGAACTCGATGACCATCTCAGGTGTCCAATTGTCTTGTAGAGATTTTGGAAGTTTGTTGATTTCCACGTTGAGTTGTGGGTTAGCATAGCGTATGCGCCTGAGCTCCTCCTTCACAAAATGCCTAGTTTGTCTTAGGTATGCATGTACCAGAGTTGTCCATAAGATAGCTTACCGTGCCCCGAAATGATCGTTTCTTGCAGCCAGCTTCAAGCTTATCCCCCGCAGACCGGCCAAGGATAGCCTTGGTTCCTCATTCAACTGCTTCAGTATGACAGATAGGCGAGAAGGCCCTGGAATGAACTTGGGTTTCCGAGGCATGCTGAATGAACTTGAGAGTAAATTTAAATTTGTAGTACGGGCTGTAGGTTGTTTGCTCCTGTTGAATTCGAATGCCTTGACCTTCCTTTCTTGGTGAACCCATCTCATCCCTTGGACATTCATCACTCTAATCCTGGTACTACGTCATCCAATATGGCTGAGGAGGAGACCCTGGTATCGCGTCGGTCGAAGAGAAGTACGGCGGGGAATAGGTTTGCAATATAATTTTGTTGGTACCCTGACTGAAAATGATTAGGATGGAGGCGGCCCTCGCCGAGCTTGCCGTCGAGGAAGTCAATGATGCTGAAGAAGATGTTGACTTTGTCAATGACAAAGGTGGATGAGATGCGCTTCATACTGATATAATTTATCTTACGCTGCCTCTAGATGAGGAGGATGTCTTTGAATCGGATTTCGCAAGCACGGACGACGAGGCAGCTGCTGAAGATGTTGCTGATACCGGAGAAAAGGCAGTCGAGGATGAGGAAAGGAGAGCGAGGAGGGTATGTATTGATCACCGTTTACATAGAAATATTATCATATCTATCTAGAGCGTGCGCGCAAGGGTGGAGAAAGCTACCGCCGCTGCTCATGCTCGACAGAGGGTCACTTTTAATCCCCAAATGGAGGCTTCGGAGAAGAGACCTAACAAGGAGGCTCAGAAGCTCAAAAGACGTGTATCTCTTGGTGTCGCAGTTAACGCAGAGACAGGAGAAGTCATTGAGGGCGGTACGAGGCAACGGCAGAGTCAGAGATCACATACAATCATGAATACGTCGGCAACTGTCAACAGAATGAAGGATGCAGAAGAGAAACGAGTAAGTCCTTATCTAACTTCATGCTCGAAGTACTTCACTGTCCCTTCTGCAGGCCACTATTCCGAAGAAAGCAAGAGTAGTCACGAAAGCACCAACACAGGATGAACTTATCGCGCGAGCCCTCGACACCGAGGAGGGGAATATCATTGAGCACCGGGATTATCTCAAAGTAGAAGAAGAGAAGCGCGCACGCGCTCGTGTAGTTCGAACCGCCCTTGAAGGTCCGGTGTTGCGATGGATCAGCCGGAAAGAACAAGTGAAGGTTGAGGTTACACCTCCAGTTCCTGCCCCATATCCATCGCAGTACGGTTTCATCTACAATCCACATCAAGGCACTTCCTACTTTGGGACACAAAATTATCAGTCTCCTTTCCGTGCATACGTTCCAGCGCCGCCAAGCCAGGCGCAGGAAGGTTCGCCCACGGCATCACAGGACTTGGCTGCCATATCACAACCGCAGTCATCAACACCATCTGCAAACACACCATCTCAGTCTTCATATTATTATTACCCCGTGCAACCCCCACTGGCACAGGAAAGAATGGTCGACGTTTGCAGGAATTACATCGTGCATGAACTATCGCAAGATCCATCTGCAGCCAAACCGCCATGGAAGGATACCATGTCAGCTATGTTTGGTGACGAAGTCAAATGGGACGAAGTCCGTGTGTTCACAGGGAAACAACGCCCATTGAGTGAGTTTTGTCTTTTTCGTTAGGTGTTTTGTATTGCTTAACTCTCACTGTAGGTCGACCTGTCCGAGTTTGTCCGATTACTGGGATACCTGCGAAGTATCTAGACCCGCGAACAAACGTCCCCTTTGCGAACGTTACCGCATTCAAGACACTGACTAGAATTTTGTCTCACGACTATGTTTGGAGCGAGGCATTGGGGTGCTATGTTACCCGTCATGAAGAGCCTAACCATGATATTAATGAGTCTATGGATGACATCACGACAAAACGTAGAAAAGTGGACGATCAAGACGGGCAAACTGACGAAGGTTAACTGTCCATCTCCCTGCACTCGATACGACTCAAGCCCTTCAAGAACAAGACTTGTCATTGGCGACTCGTCTACTATCTCAACTATCGCATATCAGGGATTTGCAACACAGTCAATTAGTTGCAGCAACATGGGCTTCCGTGATTCCTTGATGAGGATTCTCAGGAATTGTTGAAAAGGTCGCGTATGGTTCTTACCGTCCCGATCCACTGTTCTAGTACAAGTGGGTACCTCATATGCATATGCATGTCACTGTAACCCCGTTACCCCTCGTAAGAGGTCACCCAGTATGTACTTGTAAACTGGGATAATCGTGTTGTCGTTATCCTGTGTTTATCTGTGTCTGCCCAGTGGGGCCCATCCTAGTTGAAAGGATCACGCGATCATCCAGACAGCTCCATTAAACAAGACTTACTGCTTCCAGTGCTACTTGCAGAGTACAAGAGGAATGATGAAAACACACCACGCTCCAAGCTGTCAATCAGATGAGGACGTATCTCATTTCCAGTGTTGCCCTTCTTTCTGCATTTGGTATCACCACTGAGTCAGTATTCGGATTGGTTGTGAGTGGGTCATGCAGAGCCATTACGATGGCATGGAAGAAGGATGAGGCACGTACTACCGCTATTGACCATTGCCAAGGCATCTCATTAATGGTGTAAAATGTCGATGTCATGGACCGTAATACCCACTAATAAGAACCGTGGTCAAAGCAGGACTCGGAGAACGACAAGTTGGCAGTAGCTCAGCAGACATGAAGGAAATATATGATGCGCAGCAGATAGCAGAACATGACATAAAGTAGCCTCGTGAACGTTCAATTTTATTTCCAATACATGTTTCTGTTTTGTACTTACGATCAAAACACGGATTAGAAATACACAATGAGAGGGACATAATGTCGGCATGCCGCTGGTTTACACATTTCCAGGTGGCCGAAATACATCCCCAAGTACTCTCGTCAGCTCCGTGAGTTGTGCTGCTGGCACAAGCATCAACCGTCCAGCCGTGTCTAATCCAAATGACTCTGCATTGCGTGGCTGGGCATTCGAATACGGAAAAATCAGATGATGAGAGGCAAACTGAGACTAGGTGAGACCAATCTCAAAGCACGTCAATAGAGGGGGTGCACCTTTCGAATTTCCTCATCCTCTGGGTGGAACGGATATACTCCGTCCGCGCTTCTATCGTTCGTTTCGCCATTCGAGTTTTGAGATTTTTGTCTTTTTGATGCTTTTCCTGATTGTTGTTGAGGGATAGCCATCGCGTCCTCCTCCTCTGGAGTAAGTTTGTATACACGCGATATAAAAATCAGGTGGGTGAAATTGAAGGGTTCGTTCTGAGAGGGACAACAACCACAAGGCCTATGGTTCATATAGGAGCTCTATAAGTAGCAGCGACTCACCTCTTCAACTGCATCCTTGAGCTCATCCACGAGCATACGGTACATGGGAGGTATCACAGGCACAGGCATGTTGATCAACCTTTCGCATAGAACGAGTCCTACATGACACTGCGGATCACGTAGTACTGTCAATAGTGACTCGTAGAATGCATTGTCTCCCTTCGATTTTGCCAAAAATACTCTACAACCGACTTTATAGATACGTTGTCCTGACAGCAGTCCTTGCTTAAAAAACACCAGACAACAAATAAACGATACTCACGTTGTGTACACCGATATTTAAAACGCTCAAGAATGCATATGGGCTGCTCTCCTCTCCATCAGTCTTGATCGTGGTCCCTATATCAGGCTGTGAAAGCACCAGGTCTGTAAGAGCGTGTGTGCTGAGACCTTCAGCATCCACACCGAAGAGCTGATCGAGAAGACGCTTGATGGCGTGGTAGTCCATCGTTGCATTGAAGCCAAAAAAGTCAAAATCTACATCGATGAACGTCGGAGTCTACTGAGAGCTGGTCACCATAGATTATCACAGAAAGCCTCATGAAATCATACGTCTTCCGAGTCGCTATCGGAATCCTTGTTGTCGGCTTGATTTTTGCGTTTTGACATTTCGAATATGAAGTGTACCAATACTTAATGCGTGCAAAGTCACGAAACAAAGTGTTACGTAAGACGTTGTCGCAAAATCGTCACATATTCCCACGAAAGTAAAAAATATTATATACGAAACTACGATGCTTCAAGCCAGAAGCAGTCGTCATAAGTACACGCTAAAAACGACAACAACAGCAAGTTAGAACATTGTAAACATGCTTGCCAGTTGCAAATCATCCAACCAAAGTCAACCTGGCATTAAGATCAGTAAGTACTGCATTTGTCGTTACGTACAAACGAACCACAATCAGTGATCAGTGAACACGCAGCAGCTACCGCGTGATTCCCATCTTTAGAAACGCTCCCACTACCTCGACCTCATCCCATTGTCCTGGGTTCTCCGCCGTTTTCTTCGCGTGGATGTATGTGAGGGTATTGCGGAAGTGTCGAGTGATCACTTCGGGCGTCGCGACGCCTTCTATTCTTTGTGAGGGGTGGAGATATGAGGAAGATGAGGATGGAGACGTGATCGTGTCAATAGAGGAGGCAATGAGTTCAACAAGTGAGACTATAAATTTAGGTGCGATCTGATCCGAACGTAAGTATGTTATTGTTGCTGCTGAAACGGCGAGTACTCACTGCAGGCGCGCCCCGGTCGAAATAATACAAATATTGATCAAGCGTGTCGCAGTAAAGTTGAACGGTGACTATCTCCTCCGTAGCAGAATTTGCTATGCGTAGTGATTTCTGAAGGCATTCCAAGACACGTTTACTGTCCTGATGCGGGTACTAGATGCCGTCTATCAGTCATTGTATCTCAGAGTAGGGATCAAAGTTGCGAACCGCTTTAACACCTTCGCCATCTTCTCTGGGGGGGAATGCAGCCTTCTCAGATTCCTTCACGGCAGGCCCATCTGCCTCGCCCTCTTCTAACACAGGCTCTTGCCACCACAGATGGCTAGCGGCATGTACCGCCGTCGCCTGATGTTGTTTTTTCAACAACCTCGCACCGTGCAACGCAGCCTTCGTTATTAACGTATCGTACCCATCGATATTAAATACTCTCGCGCCTTGAAGGGTGCCAATGATAAGGGTGATAGCAGCCAGCTGCGCTCTGCTTTCTGAAATACTGTCTTCGTATACCGAGAAAGCTTGCACGTAGAAATCGTAGGCAAGGTCTTCGAATCCAGAGCCGCATTCCGATGCAATCTGTGCTGCGAGAAGGAATAACCTCAGTGCGAATGCTGGGGCGTCGACCTGGGTGGCGAGGATGGAGGTACACTGTCGAACAAACTTGAGTATCGTGTTAACCTTGTCTTGCCAACCCTCCTCCTGCGAATGGTAAGCAGCAGAACACAAAAACAAAAACAACAAGATATACCAAATGTTCACAGTTCTTATACCGTCTACATAACTTGATGCTGGAAGTGATGAGCGCAGGGAAGGTATAACGCATCCGCTCGCCACCAGCTTCGAGATGTTTCCGAGCTGTCTGTAACAGCTGCGCAGTATGTCAGCCCAGTAAATACCCCCACAAAGAAGAATCGCACAAGAAATTGGATATCCAATGAATCCGCACGGAACAAATGCACCATCCGTGCAACCCAACCTTGTTCCTCTGCTAGATCTTCCCTCTCTGTGTGATACGGTCCCTGTCTTCTGACTTCCTTGGCACCAACGCCGTTCTGCGATGCAGCGGAATCGGTCTGGTCCTTGATAAGAACATGACAAAGTTCCAAAACCCCATCAACATCTTCCGGCGCCTCGATGATCGTTTCGTTCTTGAGTACGCTCGAAATTACGGAGTGGGCGATTGAGCGTCTTGTCGAGAATAGTTGCTGGGAGAGCAGGGGGACATATTGAGGAATTGCAAGGAGTGTGAGGACAGATTGGTAGGAATTTATAGGTGCTACTAGGAGAGCGGCTAGGTTGGAGGCCGTCTGTGGTGCGTGGAGGTCAGGGCTGGAGAGCTTCATTAGTGAGAGTTGTCATAAAGACGCGTAACATGCCTTTCTGAGAACTCCTTTATTTTGTCACGCGCAAAGCCAAGGATTTGGTCCACATATTCTAGCCGGTCTGGGTAACAGCTTAGTGATAGGTTGGTGAGGGACACGAGCAGTGCGGTGATATCCTGTATCGATAAGTCTGGCCGAGCCTTGAAAAATGAGTGAGAATCGCGAATAGTAGCATAGAGTGTAACTCACTTTGATAAGCTCTACTACTTGCTTCCAAAACACCTCGAATAACCGGACGTTCTCTGGAACACCCCTGAATTTCCGAACAGGTGATCCGTCATGCCCGTGCTTCTCCTCCGCCAAAACGTCATTCGTAGCCATAGCCCCCGCACCAACCTCCATCTCAGCCATGCTTTTCTCCGTATCAGCAACAGCACTATCCCAAGCATCCTCCGCCGAGGGCAGTGCACCAGCCGCTGCCCCATTCTCCCTTACCCGAGCTTTCTGAGCTTTCACCTTATCTGCAAGTCTCCGAGCAGCAGCTTCTTCCTGGCGTTTCGTCTCCTCAGGGTCTTCGCTCTCAGCTTCACGAGCAGCATACGCAGCCAGCCGGTCGATGAGCGCAATCACAATCAGCTTGATGTTCACCTTTGGATGAAGTTGGGCTGTTGCTGAGAGGAACGGGCCAAGGGTGTGTAAATGGAACTCGTCCGTGAATACCTATTGATGTAGAGTCAGTAAGGTCTTCCATGATGCCCCGCAATCAACCCCATCCATCTATTCATCACCCGTACCTGAATAACAACCTCCATTAAATACTCTTGCGCAATCACATCTTTACAATTGACGACTTGTTCCAAGATAGCGGGAAGAATGCTGTGTCGGTACATCTCAAGGTCTACGCCGTCAAGTTGAGAGAGTCGGACAAGGTTGGTTCCAACGAGAATACGGAGGTCGCGGCGCTCCATCTCGCGTTTTTCGCGGTCGCGGGAATGGCCTTGGTGTTGGAGGCGTACCCAGAGTTTGTTCATCTCGATGAAATTGGTTAAGACGAAGGATATGGAATCTTGGAGGTTTCCTGTGGGTCTGGGGGATGTTAGTGTCTATTTTTGTGTTGGGATGGTATGTGGATGTACCCTGGATCGACGCCGATAGGAAGATGGTCTCTCGTCTGTCCGCTTAGGTAGTGCCTTAAGAAGAGCCCCCGTATGGGGTGTAGCACGCCACGAGACATTTCCATCATATCCTTCATGATCTCCTTCACTGGCGCATCCGGGATAGACATATACACAGCGCCGACTGTGATCATGAGATATAACCTCGGTACAATGTTCCCAGCATATTGAACGAGTTCGTAGAGGTCTGCAAGGTGATGTCGGGATTGGGTGTGTGCATCGTAGAGATAGTTAGAAAGATGCCTTAGGGCGTCGAACACTGCCATGTCTGTGCGAAAAAAATCAAGATGAGAAGGGAGAGGAGGAGGGAGGGCGCACAGAGTTCGTAATATTGCTTTGGGGATAAGGATGACGTCCGGAGTTCCGCTAGCATCAAGCTAGAGCTTTTGAGCGCGTCCATTATATCATCATTATCCTGTACCAATGTAATGTTAGTGGATTATGATGTGCAGGCATTGAAGCGAAATTATGCTTATACTGCGCAGGAAACTCACCAAATGTCGCTTCATCTGACCGACTTGTATTTTGACGGTGCTGAGTGACTCGCTGAGGAGCTTGCCTTCCTCTATCACTGGGATCACTGTCGTCGTTGCCATTGCTCCGTTTGACGAGATATGTTAGACTAACTGCCAGCGACAACGGTTCCGACTTGTGTACCCGCCGAGTGGGTGTCCGCTTCTGAAGATGACATAAGCCATGACGAGTCCTTGATCGCGAGCAATATTAATATATATTCCTCGTGGCTCATTCATACAGAACGTGGTGTATCAATCTTATACAAAACAGCCTCGATCAACGCATCCAGATCTGTATCACCTGCCCCACTCTCCTCCTTTCCAATTCTCTCCGCAATCACAGCTTCACCCATCCATGCCGGCATCTCCTCACCTTTACACTTTTTCCAATACGCCGTGAAGAGCTTCATTTCAGGCCTCCATTTCCTCCCCTTCCTATGTGCGCTCAAACTAACCAACATCGCAGCGTACGAAAGGCGATACAACACCTTGAGCTCCTCATCGCTCGCACCAAGACACGCGAGCTGGTTGTTTAATGCGCGATCCTGATGTTCCATGCGCAAACTAAGCCAGTCTTCGATGAGACTATGGCTCGAATCGGCTAGGAGGAGTGCAAGCTCTGTCGCTGCATCTACGAATGTAGCCCCTAGGCCTCCATAGGCTGCGTTCATCTCTTCGCGGTAGTACGTGCGCAGGACTTTACTCGGACGTGGCCATTGGACACATTTTTCTTCAAATTTGCTAGGGTTGAGACTGAGGATGAAGGTGAATGGCTCGAGGCCTTTGTTGCGTCCTAGGATACCATGTGCGAGGCAGACGGGTTGGCCGTCGTGCCCTGAAGATGTGAGGGGGGAGGAACGGAGGAGCCGTTGGGGGACTGCGAGGATGCCACGGCTGACGCGGGGGGAGAACCCGATGTGGGAGCCCCAGAGGAGGGAAGCAGATTTGTTGGGGTGGATGGGGGCGTACAGACCTGTCTTGTCGTCTGGAACGACGGGTGTCTCCGATTTCTCATCTGGCTGCTTTTCGGATGGTTTCATTAGGGTATCCAAGTGACGCTTCCTGGCCTTGAGGATGTCTGTGGGGTCCTCGGCGATGAGGTTTGATCTGAAGATGGGAAGACGGGTGTCGACGGGGTGTTTTTTCATTGCTGGGACCTCTTTGCTAAGGATCGGCCATGGATCGTTGCCTTCTATAAGTGGGACTAAAGTTGCGTCTATTCCTGTGCGGCTCGGGCCAGTCCATGCCGCCCATCGATTAGAGCAATAGTGTCGATTACGCCATGCAGGCCATGCATAGCGGAATACAGCGAGAGAGGATGCGCTGGCTAGCAATATGATTCCGAGTGAATCGTTATTATTGCCTAGACGAACATTGAATATACGGCATTAAAATTGTGACGGGTGCTTACCGGCAAGGAAAGACAGGACCATACAGCCAAAGGAAGCGACGAGAGCAATGGCTATGGCTGACCACCAGAGATGTTCCCTTCTGCCCAAACTGAATCTGATTGTCCATAAACCTTCGGACTCGCAAATTTCAACGAGAGTTGTGATAGCGCCTTGAAGTAGAGATACGGCTACAGCGATAGCAGTTGCAGTCCAGAAGATTTGTTTGCGTTGTGCATCTGTGAGTTTGCTCATGAGGAACGCGCTGCCGGTGTCGGTGGAAGGAGGAGTAGTGGGGGTGGAGGAGGTTGGTGATTCGGAAGCCAGGATTTGAACATGTGGATGTGGTACAGCAGCTGCGTACGTAATTGCGACATTGATAAGAGCGAGTACGGTGATCATTATGAGGGCCAGGCGAGTTGAATGATGACTTACATGTTCGCAGCGAAAGTTTTATAAGTTTGACTCAGATGCAGCAGGCAATTGTGCCGGCATAAGTGGCAGAACTGCCATGGTCCACCCACTTGGCAACATTACCAAAACACTACAGGGTTGTGCGTATGACAACGTATCACCATTAGAAAAGCATCAGCATGTCCACATCTCACTGTCTGTCGTTGTGATCAACTCGTCGGGTAGAAGACCTCGGTCAACATCCTCCGATTCTGCAAATCATGAACTTGACCGTGACCTTCCAACACTTCGTTTCCATCAACCAGCACTCGTTCTATGGCTTCTTTCTTGTGCTCTAATAGTGCAATCTCACCAAGTAATATGGATTCAGGACTTGCAAGATCGACATCAATGTTCCGAGTCTGAGGTGCGAGTGGTGGTGCCCATACAAAATTGGCTTCTAGATCAGCAGCTACATCGACAATGGTGCCTGGCTGGGTGCTGGTGTGCATGTGCGCATGACGTCGACGAATCGGCCTGCCATTAGCCACAGAATCGTTGAATCTTTGTCAGTGCTTCAAATGTGCCTACTGTGAGATTGCAGCGCTTCGGAGACCCAGCGGCGCTACCCACATCCGACGAGAGGCGTTTGATGTTGGCAGCATGGGGAACAATAGATGAAAGGGTGATTGCTAGTGCCTTCAAAGGATGTCTGTCGGCACTGACTGTGAGGCTTTCCCATATCTACGTGAATCCATTCTGGACCAGTAGTAGCGTCCAGATTTGTTGTTAACCTTACATAAATGGTGCTTCAAGCTTCAAGCTTCGTCGACATCGGATAAACCATGAACTGAAAACAGTAAGCGTTCCAACGTTGTTGGCATATGTTTGCATTTATGCATATCCTTAATATTATTGCACTTTGCAGCGAAAGATCTAGAACGGGGATCGGCGAACTCATATTGGCAGTTAGTTGACACTCATAAACCAACGATATCACCAGGTGCCCATTTCCTTAGGCTCTCTGGCACAAGTCATGGTCCCAAACTTCTTCGATGAGCTTTTTGGTCTGGAAAGTACTTTTCGATAGCGCAGGATTTGTCATATTGCCGCCGATAGCCTCTAGCTCATAACATTCAATCACCACAAGCTGGGCGGCCCTCATAGTATATTTTCTTCAGCACTCAGGGCCAGGCTGTGCACTGTGATCACTGCCTTCAAACCACACAACCTTTCCTATCGGACACATTTTTCGATCCGCTGAGACAGTACAAAACCGTACACGTCCCTCAGTGCTAATGAGTCGCAATATCTTACTCAAACTTCGTAATCTGAGCTTGCTTTAAACTGATTACCGTTCTGCAGAATTTGAATAGCAATTATCATGACCGAATTCAGTGCTTACGTAGTGCACGGCACATCATCCAACGACCGTTGTGCCTTCAAGTCAAGATGATTTCAAGACAAAGCTAGAGTTTGAGCCTGATATTGCAAAGACGGAGGATTTTGCTGGAGTGTCTCCGTACTGCAACAACAAGTGAATGAATTATCAATTCGGCGCCTCTGCAACTTGTCCGCAGCCCAAGGTCAGTCAATAAAGTTGCTCTAGGTGTTGTCCTGCATTCACGTGTCATGTCTAATGCGTACAGACGAATATTCACTCAAGCACCTGCTATGGACTAAGATGTGGAACGAGTTGGCGTCAGTTCATTTTCTCAGCTTGTTGCGTTGTGGCAATGCTAACGTACTTCTATAGAGACATTGATGCCTCAATCACTGATGGAGTTTGAGGTTGGTAGATTTTATTACACAGGATTTTTCTCCGTAGCTTCGATGTGTCATGTCAATGTACGGGTTTATGTAGAACCGGTCACATACGATATTGACATTCTCTGTAGTCCAACTTGTACGACCAAACCGGCACTAGGCAACAACTACGGATGATATGACTTAGGGGGGACGACTGCATGTCGCTGGTGCCTGCGGGTGGATCGAGATACGACAGACATATCAGGATTTGGGTCAGTTTCTCGCAACGGTGTCATCTATCCAATGTATGCGGGAGGGCCTCGCAAGCGCTCGTCGTCGCGATAATATGTCGGAAGCTTGAAGACTGATAATACTGGAGTAGTGCGAAGACCTGATACATGTGGTCAATTGGTGTGAGCACGAGAAATTATATGGTGTTCACCTTGTAAAATGTACCATGAGTGAAAGTATCGGCTTCCACGGTAGAAACAAATGCAAACTCGAGAGATGTGAGTCGAGCCGATTCGGCCTGCACATGCGATTAGTGGCGAGACACGCAGGCTGTTTTTAAGCTTTTGTGGACTGGCGATGGCGATGGCAGGTAACTTGAAGTACGAGAATACGAGATGGCATTAGGTTCTGACAAATGATTATGGCCAAGCTAGCACAACAATTCCATTGCTTGTTCTAGCTTTCACGTCCCAATGTATAGATCTGTTCGAATGATCGCTAGCATTTGAATGGTGAGCGTGACTAGTACTTGCCAATACCAGTCTAGCCGATAATAGTGCAATGATGTTGCCGTAGTGACCTGTGTAGCGGAGGCCTGTAAGTGACTTGGCTATATCCCCTACCCGAGCTATGCATAGAGCTACAGGCTGCTACAGGATGATGCTAGACAGTAATCGAGCTGCGCGCGTCAAGGGAAATGCGGCTATCAAGGCTGCGTGACTGGTGCTGCTAATTTCTCATTTATAGATCCTTTGCATTATTTATATTTGTGTCAAGTAGGCCGTCGACAAGGTTACCTTCATCCGATGTCTGCCATGGATGGACAGAAAATTGGTTGACGGGCTGATGACTCCTTGATATTTACGGCGTACGCTGGCAGATTCGGGTAAGCGCTGGCAGTGGGTGGGAGCGGGCGGGAAGTCCTTTGACGAACCATTTTTATACAAAGAACCACAGCGCCAACTCTGTGACAACGCTAATTTACCCTGGGAGGAGGATAAACCATATACGCAGGTCTATAAGGAGATTACGAAGGCGGCGATGATAGCACGTGGGATCTGGGTAAACTGAAATTAGGAATGGCAACGACGTACTCCCCAGTGAATTGTTTTGTCGTATTTGGTTTTTGTCCAGTTGTTGGTCGTCGCGGTATTCGTTGTCCGTCGTGTCGAACTCGTCCTTAAGGAAGGGGGGGGAGTACTGATTTTTTTTTCTTCCTTAATCTTTGTGGGTTTTTGTTTTTATCGTAATCTTTTCAACTAACCATCACGTCGTTTTGAAAGAAATCTGTTGTTGCAGTTTGCCCATGGCCGTTCTCGCACCACAAGATTGGCACCCACCTCGCGATCATACAACAATGGATACACGTCCTCAATCAACAAACGAGCAACAGTCTAACATACCCATCCAACCTTATCCATACCCAGTTCAGCAGCCTCATGGCACTTGGACTCCAAGTCCAAATGCTCAACCCTTTTACCCTTCTTACTACCAACCACAGCAACAACAGCAACAGCAACAACAACAACCTCATCAGAATCCTTATTTCGATCCTCAAGCAAATGCTCAACTAGCTCAGTGGGCATATCAGCAAATGATGTATTCTCAACAACAACAACATCCTCGTCCTGATTACTTTAACCCCTCCCAGTTATTTTCCCCTTTTCCAAGTGGAACACCCCCTCCTCATTCTCATCACCAGAATTACCCCCCTCCTCAAGTACAGCGTTCAGTATCATCAGATGCAGCTCAATATAATGGCTTTCATCCATATCGCCGTCCCAATAATACCCGTCCTCAAGAACAACAGGAATGGCGTGCACAACCTCCTTATGCACGCGGTGAAGCTTCCGCTTCTACAACTTCTGTTAATTCTTCTTCCTCTCACGGCGGAGCTTCACGCCAACGGACAACAAGTCAGGGTCAAGTCCCATCTCGTCCAAGGATCCCGACAACAACAACAACAGAAAATACACGCCAACGTACAGGAAGCAATTCATCCACTAACAACCATCCACACCACCGCACCGCATCTACCTCCTCCACAAATTCTTCATCCACTCCACGCCCTTCTCTATCTACCCCTCCATCTAGGTCCTCCCCCACCACCACAGCTACAACACCCCAAACCGCTTCTTCTTCCCATGCTCGTCCAGTCCGGCCCTCCCCGCTAAGTCAAGGCACATACACTGCTGCGGAAAAGCGCATGTCACGTGATGACTCCGATCTCGCAGCTATCCTTGAAGGTACTTCCATTGGTACAAAAACAGGTGGCATCAAAGGCAGACTTCGTCGTGCACTCAGTCTCAATGCCGCTCAAGCCTTGCAAGAAGAGGAAGAACAACCCTCTCCTGGCGCAAGCACAGCAAAAACCACTCCAACAACCCTTCCTGACCCTGACGCTGCCAGTACTGCCACAGTTCAGACCAAGAAAAAAGGTCGTGCAGCATCCTTGTTTAACTCTCGCCTCAACGCGAGCACAGACAACATCTCTCTTTCATCCACGATGTCCTCTGCTTCCGTCGTCATCCGCAAGATTGGTTCAATCGGAAAACTCGCAAGGCGGAACAGCCTCGCAGGAATAACGTCTCTATTCAAAGACAAGAACAAGTCCTCTGAAGGCACCGACGATAACGGCAAGAAGAAAAAGAAAAAGGAAAAGGATGCAAAAGGCGATCTCGTAGCTCCTACCCTTTCCCACGCTGTTGCCGAGCTCGATCGTGGCGATTGGAGCAGTCCAGAGATGAGCGGATTAAGTCCTGCTGCTAAACTTGCCCGCCAGCATACACTTAAGAGTAATGCAGAGGCTGCTGCTGCTGCAAAGGCCCGTGTTGAGTCCGCCCAGCCTCAGCCGAATGGGACCCATGTCCCTGCTGCCTGGGAGAAGAATACTGCTACAAGGGCCGCCGAATCGAGTTCCAGGGTCAATGAGGATGGGACGAGGGTCTTGGTTGAGGAGGATGATCAGAGTGATGATGGACATGCCTATCCTACACAAAACTTCATATCGGACGGCTGGGACGACGACGAAGTTTGGGATGAGGATGGGGAAGAGGACCTTACTATTCGTGTAGCGGGCGATGACGATGAGGTTGTCGCGTGGGCGACTAATATCAGGCGCAGCATCGAACGTCACAGGACACCTGCAAAGGGTATCCTTAAAGGTGCGTATCGAGCATATCGGGCACTGTTTACACTGACCCTGTTTTAGGTGCTGATAATTACTCGCAAGAGGTGTATAATGGTGAGACTGTGGCGAACCCTGCTATCCGCGTACGCTCGAATTCATATAATTCGCATCCGGCGCAATCATCCGAGCTGGGTCCGCTCGCTCGCATACCCTCTCCCGATCCAGACCATATCGATGGTTTGCATCGACACCCCTCGCATTCAAGCAATGCACCTGCAGGAGGTATGCCTCTGCACGCCGAATTGAATCATTCTAACAACCCAGTAGAGAAAGAAAGGAGCATGTTCACCCTCTCCAACTCATCCGCCCCAGCCCTATCAACGATCCCTACGACCCCACCCACGCTGACCCACCGCTCAGCGACCACGCCTGCCAAAAGGCTCGTGTTTGCAAACAATCTGTCAGTTTATGATACATTTTCGTCGGCTGTTTATGATCGTCGCAGCGAGCCTGCGACGTGGAGTCGATTGACGCCTGCGTTGGCGCAGCGCATTA